TTTTCGTTATGTGCTTCGCGAAAAGGATAAAGTAAATTAAATAACAATAGCAATTCCGCGCAAGATCTTGTAGTGTTGTGGAGAAGACAATGGTCTCCCAAGTGGTAAATCGATGGTTCGAATCTCACCTTAACCGTTTTTCAAAATATTGACTTCGAGAAAAGAATGAAGTACATTAAATAACCATAGCCGTTCAGCATAAGATCTTGTAGTGTTGTGGCGAAGACAATTGTGTCCCAAGTGGTAAATCGATGGTTCGAAACCTACCATAACCGTTTTTCATTATGAACTTCGTGAAAAGGATGAAGTAAATTAAATAACCATCGCAATTCAGTACAAGATCTTCTAGTGTTGTGGTCAAAATGTTAGTCTCATGTGTTGAGAGTCAACGGTTCGAATCTCGTTTTGGATGAAAATTTTCGTTATTAATAAAACGTCATAAGGTTATGGAGAATAAATTGGTGTAGGCTTCCAACAATCACCAGTTAGCCTTGTGGTAAAGTCGTGGACTATCAAGTACAAGATCGTGGTATCAAGAACAGTACGTTCCTCATGGCGGTGGAAAGAAAGAAAAAATGGTAGGAATGTTGCTCTGGGGAGGTTTGTATTCGATTAATCTTTGCAAATCAAAGTTAATCTTTAGGGAAATCAGGGGATAGATAGGGTGAATGAGGGGTATATGAGTACAAAAAGACTTAGTAATTGGGCGGCCTCGGCTGCCGGGGGGTGGCCTCGGCTGCCGGGGGGTGGCCTCGGCTGCCGGGGCAAGGAAAAGGGTATAGGTGAGAGGGCACCATATAAAATGTTTAAGTCTTTTTGTACTCATTTAAACCTCTTTACCCCTATTTATCCTCCTATTTACTCCTATCTATCCCTACTTTTTCCTATCCTCACATACCCCCAACTATCCCCTAACACAGTTAAATGTTTGAAGAAAGCTTGCTTTGAAAGTCAGGAAAGCCGGGGGAAAGAGAACCCCCCTCAGTCTACTCCTCGCCCAAGGCGAGGGCATATTCGCCCTCTCGCACTACTCCTCTCACACTCACAAATTCTCACTTTATTACCTTGTTGTTCTTTTTCGGTTTATCCAGGACTTGAACCATCGACTGTATACTTGGCAGATCACCGTCTTCACCACTACACCACCAGTTCTTGTGGTGAAAGCCTACAGCTTTTTATTTTACTTAATCCTTTTTGGAAGGATCTTTGATGAAATAGAAGAAAAAAAACATTCCCATCTGGGGCTCGAACCTCCGCCCTTAAACTTTGAGAGCACTGCCTTTACCAGTAGACCACACGATCTTGCGATGCAAGGCTGTACTTTTTTATATTACCGAATACCTTATGGGTAGGATCTTTTTAATGTTCATGATTTATTTTCTCGTCTAAAACACGCACACAATTGTATCTTATGCGTAGCTTGTAACCTAATAGTAGCCATTTGTGTTCTGGCTAAAATATCACATACAGGTATCAAGTGCCTTAAAGCTATATGTTTCCATAAGTTAGTTGTTATATGCGGCCGAAGTGAAGCTAATGGTTACGGTGCGATTGTTTTGTATTTTTAATGAAGTAAAAAAAAGTAAATTAGTTCAGTTCAAAAGCGCAATTTCCGCAGTTAACCGCGGTAAAAAACAAACAAACAATAGCAGCTCAACAATATTACGGCAACGATTCATAATTATTTCATTTAAAAGTTGTTCGAAGAAACGATTAAGTCAAATAAAGAACAATAGCTTATCAACAAACGATGTCGTCGTTAAGTACTTGTTAAGACGTTATTTTCAGTGCAAAGTTTCAAGTATTAGATTAGCGTATTTTATATTCGACGAACCGGCTAGACAAAGCGGCGAAGAACAGTCTTGAAATAAATATTCAATGTCTGTTTAACTGGATATTTGCTTATTTGCAATTTCAGATGTAATGCTTGTTGCCTCTTGACTACACGAGTTATACATTTATCCGAATTCATATACATGGGAAACTCATCGAAGACGGGAAACTCGTCTGATGTGAACCCCACACACGGGTTTCTCGTTCCAATTTTCCCGTCGAAATTAAGAGACGGGTAATTTAGACGGGAATCCCGTCTGGAAGAAAAAGTCGTCTTAAAGTCGCATTTAGACGGATCAGTAAATCAGACAAAAGTTTCAGAAATATCAGCACGATCAAGGACGGAACAAGGCAACGGAAAATAAACACAATTATTATCGTAATGATTACGCATTACCCGAACCATGCATCACCGTATAAATTTTCCAGATCCCAATTCACATTCAGACGGGTTTTTACGGCTATCAACTTTCCAGTCTCAGTAAGATGAGTATTCGGCTTTTCTTAATTCTTCTACTTCACTTTGAATCTACTTCATTAAAAATACAAAACAATCGCACCGCAACCATTAGCTTCACTTGGGCCGCATATAACTAACTTACTGGGAAGATAGCGCCCTAAGGCACTTCATACCTTGTATGTGATGTTTTAGCGAGAACACAAATCGCTACTATTAGGTTACAAGCTACGCATAAGATACAATTGTGTGTGTGTTTTAGACGAGAAAATAAATCATGAACATTAAAAAGATCCTACCCATAAGGTATTCGGTAATATAAAAAAGTACAGCCTTTCATCGCAAGATCGTGCGGTCTACTGGTAAAGACAGTGCTCCCCGAGTTTAAAGGCGGAGGTTTGAGTCCCAGATGGGAATGTTTTTTTCTTCTATTTCATCAAAGATCCTTCCAAAAAGGATTAAGTAAAATAAAAAACTGTAGGCTTTCACCACAAGAACTGGTGGTGTAGTGGTGAAGTCGATGATCTGCCAAGTATACAGTCGATGGTTCAAGCCCTGGATAAACCGAAAAAGAACAAGGTAATAAAGTGAGAATTTGTGAGTGTGAGAGGAGTAGTGCGAGAGGGCGAATATGCCCTCGCCTTGGGCGAGGAGTAGACTGAGGGGGGTTCTCTTTCCCCCGGCTTTCCTGACTTTCAAAGCAAGCTTTCTTCAAACATTTAACTGTGTTAGGGGATAGTTGGGGGTATGTGAGGATAGGAAAAAGTAGGGATAGATAAGAGTAAATAGGAGGATAAATAGGGGTAAAGAGGTTTAAATGAGTACAAAAAGACTTAAACATTTTATATGCTGTTTTCTCACCTATACCCTTTTCCTTGCCCCGGGAGCCGAGGCCGCCGCCCAATTACTAAGTCTTTTTGTACTCATATGCCCCTCATTCACCCCATCTATCCCCTGATTTCCCTAAAGATTAACTTTGATTTGCAAAGATTAATCGAATACAAACCTCCCCCGAGCAACATTCCTACCATTTTTTTTTTTCATTTTCTTTCCACCGCCATGAGGAACGTACCATACCGTTCTTGATACCTCAATCTTGTACTTGATAGTCCACGACTTTACCACAAGGCTATCTGGTGATTGTTGGAAGCCTAGAACAACTTATTCTCCATAACCTTAGCATATAATATTAATAACTAAAATTTCCATCTAAAACGAGATTCGTACCCTCGACAGTCGACACATGAGAACAACATCTTGACCACCAGACTACAAGATCTTTTGCTGAAAGGCTATGGTTACTTAATTTACTCTATCCTTTTCACGAAGTTGATGATGAAAAACGGTTATGGTAGGATTCGAACCATCGATTCACCACTTTAGAGACAATTGTCTTCACCACTAGACTGCACGATCTTGTGCTGAACGGCGATGGTTATTTAATTTACTTTATCCTTTTCACGAAGTTCATAATGAAAAACGGTTATAATGGGATTCGAACAATCAATCTCCTCTAAACACATGCCAGAACAAAAGTTCTTCCACAGAATCCTGCCAAAAGAGTAGATAACGATGATCGGTGTGTGCCTGTGGTGTATGAGTTCAAGAGTTGTCGGCTTAGTATATACGACATTGCAGGTGGTTATTGTGGGATTATTACTCGTTCACTGCGACTGCGCGGGGTTTATAAATACTTAATTTCACTTTTTCTCGCTTTGCAATGTCGTTTAAGTACGTTTAATAAACGTAAAGTGTCCGTTTTCACTCACTGCATTTACTGCAACCTAAAACCGGTCAATTTTTCAACAAATGAAGTGAATTAAGGACATTTAAAATTTTCTTGACATCATGCAATAGTCCACACAGTGCACGAATGACCACGTGCATACATCATGTGCGTAGAGAATTAAAGACAGTACACTTGCATGCACGACGCATGTCTGTAAGTTGCAATTAGCATAATAAAAAAAGGCCCAGATAACGTTTCGAACCATGGTCATCTAGATTGCGAGAACGTTGTCTTCACCACTGGACCACCAGCGCTTGACGTTCAAGGCTAGGTTTACCTCAATCCTTTTTTTAGGTGAATAATGAAAATCATTCTTCCGAGGATTCGAAATACCGACTTGAATGTTGCGAGACCATTGCCTTCATCACTACACCAAAAGAGACCTAATGATTCACAGGTTCGTTTTTTTATCTTACCTAAATCTATTCTTTCGGGTGGTAATGATAATTGAACTTCTATACTTTTTAAAGTACGATGTGCTTCTGAATTTCGCGATCGAACATTTAGGTTCGCAAGGCATCTAAATGCGAATATGAACTGTATTGTTTATGTTCAGAAGCTCTATATTAAAGACTGGCACGTGCGCCGGAGTTAACGCCAGAACAGGCGTCTTGTTTCCTTTTAGTAGTCGTAGTTTTGGGCGACAGAATTTGGCATTTCTACAAGTAACCCAAAACAACTTCATTTTGACCGAGAAGCCCTGGGTTACACGGTCCAGTGTCCAAGGATGTACATCAGTTGGCATGCAGGCGGAGTGAACGCCTTGAGCAGGCGTCTTGTTTAATAGAAATTAACTATTGTAAAACGCCAATTGTTGCTTGGAAAATATTTGGCTGGGCTAATAACTATATAGATTAATAGAATAATTAATTCAAAGCTAAATACTTTTTCACAATTTTGGTAATACCATATATGCCATGTATAATTTATTTATCCACGAATAACCTAATTCACTGGTGAAAAAATGCAACTTTAAAGTTCCTTAATTACAGCATGTTGGTTAAAACGTTTTTGTGAGTTCTTTAAATATTTTAAGTATATAAACAAATGAATATTGTTACAAGCCATTATTATACATCACTACTAAAGTCTTGATTAAATTCATGCATGGATCAGAGTTTTGTCACATTTTTCCATACATGTGGCTGTTGAATCATTTCTGGCAAATATGGCAACATCTTCTTATACACCAACTTCGCCATCACTTCATAACCAGATTCCGTCAGGTGAACATCATCTTGCCAATACTGCTTTCGCTTTTCTTTGGTCATTTTTTGATAGTCCAGTTCCTTATCAAAATCTGCTAAGATCAGCAGCTCTCTAGTATTGGCAACTAAGTTCCGAATTTTTGAATTCAGGGATTCTCGGTTAACCGAAAGAGACTCACAAATAGGCATCTTAACCTCACATTGCCGTGTTATTATGGTGCCAAGTATCACCATTGCATGTGTCCGAAGGGCTATCTCACACAATTTCTTAATGTTCCCAAACAAATTGTCGATGAACAATGAGCTATTGGCATATAACTTCTGAAAATCATGATAGTTAAAATATGCTGATAAGTCATTGGTGCCCATCAATATGACCACCCATTCATATTGCTTTGTTTTTAAAGCAGCTTTTAGCCTTGCTTGGGCTCTTCCTATGGCTTTGTCACCATTCAATCCTTGATTATCGACGATGAAGAAAACATCTTTTGAGTGAAGCCTGTTCAAAGTCTTCATCAAACTTTGGGAGTAGGGGTAATACACATCTTTTGGGCCACGTTTTACTAAACCTTTAGTTATGGAGTCACCAAATGCGAGAATGTTTGTCCTCGGTTTACGTGGCGTCGTAGTACAAAAGCTGCCGTTGCAAAGACTGTACCAAAAATACACAACAAGGCATATCAACACGAAATCGGCAGCAAGAAAATAGAGGCAATATCTGCTGATCGTTCTTGCATAAGGCGATGATCGAATACTTTTCACAGACATTTATACTTTGGCTTGTATGAACCCTTACATTCTTTCACCCGACACGGTCGAGTTGTTTAACTTGTTTTCCGACTGTAAACACAGCAGTTTATTTATACACTGAGTGGTTTATTACTAGAGGCTATAAAGTCGAGGAATGCACATTTCGACGCCATCTTGAATTTAGTATTTCCACAGTTCCACTGTGTAAAATTCACATTCCTTGAGTCAATTAACACGTCACCGCAGGAAATATATAACCAACAAATAACCAACATACAAGTTACAATGTGTCTCATAAATGAACTCAAAAAATTTTTTAACAATAATATATCAAAAGGTATTTAAAAACTAAGGCGACTACTCAAACTATTAAAACTACTTTTTAAAATACTAATCATGATTCATGCGAGAGAAAAAAGCTATAGCGAGTATTGTTGCGGAAAAAATCAGGTGTAGGATGGTTTTTATAATTATTTTCATATGCTCGTCTAGTTAGTATATTTAGTATATACAACGATTATTATTTACAATTATTTATTACAATTATTTACTTTCACTTCACCACATGCTTACTCAATCGGGACGTCCTGTAATATAATAGTACATGTATTGGTGTAATTATATTAACCAGAACATTTACGTTATTTAGATTTTTACATATTTGACAATATCAATATCAAGGTAGGGTGAAGGAAAGTGGGAAATTTTGTTAATTAATGATTCACTTGCTTCGTATACCCAGGAGATATTTTAGGCAACTTCTGTCACATTACAGCCGCTATGCTGCTAATTTGAATTTCAAACGTGTCACCCTGTAGAACACCACATAATTTTGTATTGTTTTTTATTTGACCTAATCCTTTTTGAGGAATTTTAAATTAAATAGTAATTTGGTTAGGAAAAAATAGCGCCCCTGCCAAACAGGATTCGATTGTGAAACTGTACTAACATGCCAAAAATAGCTTTAAGTTCTTCCTGTGCTTTCTAACAATTTTTAACTGAGGTTTTATAAGTTTGGCAAAGGCCATAACAAAGTGCCACAGTTTTTTAAAAAATTAAAAACAGGGGGGAGTGAATGTTGGAGCGTTCTCAATATTGAACCGTGTCAGTGGTAATTACCATTGCCAATTGGGCCCATATGTTTCATGCTTCACTTTTTTAGCCCAAAACATTAGGAGCAAGTCCTCCAGGAATTATTATATAGCTCAGTGATCTTTAGCCGCTAGTTGCACGAAAAACGAACGCTATGGTTGCTAAAACTCTAATACAACTTTAGTTCAATGGTCAAAACCAGGTTACCCATGGAGTAGAATTGTAGAAATGCTGCCTAAAAGCACGTTAGTGTTCGGCTTGAAGCATTCTATGCGTGCATCCCAGTATTTTGGATGAAACGTTTTCTTGATGTCCGATAAATTGCTTTAGTACATCGCTCTCGCTCAGTCTAGGTTTTAAAAGGTACTCGAAATTAAAAATCAATACATAATTTTATTCATGTTTGTCCCATAAGGGGAAAATTTGTTAAAAAATGTGGTTATGACAGTTTTCGTCTTAGATTTACAATTTCTTTTTGAAAAATATTTTACATAAGTTCATTTCATGATGATTTAAAGGCCCTGTTACACGGTGCAACTCGCAAGTCGCAATGCAGTTCTACTATAAGAGATGTAAATTAGTGAAGAGTCTTCAAAATGTGAGTGGTACCCGCGTACCCGCAGCTTTTTTCCAACTCTGGAGCATAGCGCATGTTTTGTTGCTAATATGCATGCTCATGCACGTTTCCATTCAAGTAAGTGCATAATTTCCATGCACGGAGGTGCGTGGTAACTGGAAAGTTTGCATGCTCCTGAAATACAACATTCCTAACCCTAATCAGAATCCTAATCTCAAAAAGATGATCACTAAAAACTATAGTTACTAGAACTTAAGGAAGCTGTTCTCAATAAAGTTGGATTAGAGCGAAATGTAAAACCATGATAGACCAACTCTCTCATCACATCTTCCTCCGAAGGTTCGTTCAAAGTGCCGCCAAACATTTCATGAACACGAAACGATTTCCTTTCGACCATGAAAGACTTAAGTAAGAAATAAGAAAGAAGTCAACTTCAAAGCAATTCAATACAATGCTGCTCATGACTCAGTCGCAGATTAATGGACCCGTTGCATAATAGACCAGATAACCCAGATCATAAGTTGGTCATTTATGCAAGTGGTCCATTCCGCCGTTCAATTTAACTTAACAAAAAGTAAAGGTAAGTATTATCAAGCACTGGGATATTTACCCAACTAAATTTCTGGCTGAAGTGACTGGAAAGGCTCAAGCCACAGTCAAAGTATACGGAGAAGATAAGGGGTTTACTTAATTTGAAGGTTATTTCCTACCTGAGTTAAAGATCTGGGAACATTTTGACCACGAGCTCTTTGAGGGTCTTGTCTTTCTTGCCAACGATCAATGAATACCTATATGAAAAATATACGGCAATAAATCGAACCAGCAACTCTGCCACAAAACTGATATATACTGGATTGCACGATATCACCTATAAACGTTTTGAACTACAGTTTCAAATATTTTGTAATGATTGGTTTAACAATTGAAGCCATCGTGCATATCATGCACCAATAATTCAAGATGGCGAAATACTCGGTGAAGATATTGCATATTTTTTAGGGAAAAGATAAAAACCAAAAAAGATATAAAAATCTGTAAAACAATTTATAGTAATATACAATTTATACAGTTTTAATCGCAGAAGACAAAGCATATACTTACATCCAGTAACAGAGCAACAAATAGATTGACACAAATTATGACTGATATCAAATACCACGCCACGAAAAACAACTGTGACCAACTGCAAAAAAATTTGAAAAAATCCTTTTCAAAAGCAGGCAGAAAGCGAAATTTAAAAATGCATACATTAAAGCCCAGGAAATTATTGTTGGACAAGATGTGAAAGAACGATTAGCTAAACTTCTACGCTTGTTAAATAGGTTTGATTGCATGCTCTGTCGATTTTGCGAACAAGAAAACGTTATTTTATAACTTGGCTTCAAATATGTTTGATGTCTCGATGTTTCTACCTAATTGCCTTCGTCACGAGAGTTAGTATGGTACTATATAACTCTATCTCTTCGTCAGGAGAGTTGGTATGGTACTATATAACTCTATCTCTTCGTCAGGAGAGTTAGTATCATACTAACACCTATAGAATCCCTAGGTCGCAACGTCGAAAAGTGTTTTTGTCTATTTTAGGCAGTTGTTATACCACATTTGAAGCGAAGTTGTTATATTGGAACATATGTTAATTTTATCTCTAGTTTAAGATGTTAGTTTTGTCAGCATGGTGAAAATTTCAATTGTGCACTAAAACTGAAAAAGAAGAGTAACGAAAAAGGTAAACGAAAAGAAAAGTAATTTACTGATGTTCTTTTTAATTATAACTTCGAGCAATTTCCTCGCCTGATCTTAAGACTTTGTGCACATGGTAATGTTTTCGACCGTTTTCATTTTCGTTTTCATGCCAAAACTGCTCCAAACACCGTCGGTTTACATGCAATAGAAATTGAAGCTCCTTGGATCGTGTGGATAAGGCGCCATGCATAACGATAAGATATATATGAACAAAAAATTTTTGAAAACGCTCAAAAACCGACGCTCGTTTTGACAAATTTAGCTATATAGAGCAAGGCTTGAAAATTTATACTTTTTCGCGTGTTCGAAAACCTGACAGGTGCCGATAGTTCGAACTTAATACGCCCGTCAAAAGGTTCTTCAGAATCGTACGATACCTTGTTGTGTAACGTGTATATGCGTGCAAAAAGATGTGCCAGTTATTGACAACCATTGCATCCCATAACACCACCAGCGAGGCCTGGAAATGAACGGGAAAAAATACATATTAATTCATAGAACAGGGAAAACACCAAGAAATGATTATGAGTGTAAAAAAGTTAAAAGGCCAACGATGTTTTCTTACTGCAAAATCGTTAAAATTATTCGCCCAATACTCAAGTTCTTCGTATGTACCACACTTGAAGCTATATGAAAAGATACAAACACAATAAAATGTTTAGCCCGGAACACACGTAAAAACGTATAACGCAACATTTTCATTTTTATCGTTGTTATAGGCGATATACATAGATCGAGAAGCAACAAAAAACTAAGATCAATGCAAGAAACCGTTGAGAGAGAGCACTGAAACAAAATTATACACGGCAAAAAATTACTCAGGTTGTCGCATCAAGAGTGAAAAGCGTTGTGCTGCACCCCATGAACAAGTATTTAATAATATGTTGTTGAACCTTGTTGAACTATCCATATGTTGTTGCAACTTTCTGACATGATTGCCAACAAGATACAACAGTATTGATTAACACGAATTGTTACAATGCTGTTCAAATGGTGCGGCACAACATTGTTAACTCCTGTTTTGAATAACTTGCATCAACACGATGATATACACGTACACTTCTGTAACTGACACTGTTTGGTAGGTGTTTGTCCCTGCATATATTCATCTTATTGTCTGTGCATGGTGAACATGATAGGCTTTTGAACTATATATATGTATATAAATCCATTCACATGTATGCACTCGCAATTTTTTCCGCGATTTTACGAGCGATTTTCTTCGTTTTAATGAATGTGAACGAGCAATGTGCAAATAAGGGCACATATACATCAGAGCACCCACAACTGACCACTGGTTGACATCTATCAGAAGACGAAAATCGCACTAGACGTCGCAGCAAGTGTATAAACGGGTCTATAAACTGAAATCGATACTGATACTTGCTTTTCAGTAGTTGTGTTTCCATTTGCTGGAGGCGGTATGGCATTTTCAAAAATCATCATGCCAAATATCGCGAAGGAGTAGTACACTGCCTGCATAAAAAAATGCGTTCTTATGAAACATGGGTAAACCGGCATAAGTATATATGGATAATCCTTCAAAATGTTTTATCCGAAGAGTTTATGTACCACAATAACACCACCAAAAGGTTTCAAATTTTTCAATAGATAGGCCAGGGTGCTTGTGATCATCGAGAGAGACTAGAAATGAAATGAATAAGAGAAATTGTTTCAACATGCGGCCAAATTAGATTGAAATTATCGTCTGGTGCGTGTTTCAATACCTAAACCAATCCTGCATAATTAGCATGTCAGATGTTGTTATTTGGCGTTTGTTTAATTAATAGCCTCATATTCGTTGTGACTACTACCAGATTCCACTACTGCAGCCTTGAGTTGCGTATGATTTCTACTGGAAATCAAGACCCTTAAACCCTTTATGCCACATCAAGTGAAGTGCCACAAAGTCTTCATTGATTTACCCTCACCTATTCGCAGAGATTACCATCCAAAATACACATTAACTGCAGCTCTTGTCAGCTACCTCCGTAGCTCAGTGGCAAGAGCATTGCATGCACCCGGCAACGCAAAGGTGTAGGCTGGATTCCTACCAGAGGACCACTAAGTAGTTGATATACATTTTTCTAAACTGCTCCAAGCTTGAGTTTGCACGAGTTGTGTATCATTTCCAATCAAAATTAAGATATTCATAAACTCTTTAGATCACAGTTTTATCTCATCGTATGGGGCTTATGAGTGGGCACCAAATACCACATGTTTTATAACTAATCATTTCGCATATACCTGGATACTGAAGATAGTCCTCACAAGGCGAAATATAATAAGCACGTTGACAATCTTTATGACGTTCCACGTCGATTTATCGCTATTGCCGTATCGTCTAAATGAGGCAGAAACACACGAATACATTAGCATCCGACACAATGTGTCAGAAATACTCACTGAACAAGTAGAATGAAATCAAACACAACGACCAGAAATAACATCTTATAGGAGTAAAACTGCAAAGTTTGACTGAGCAAAGTTAGCTAATTTTTGAATATTGAATAAGAATGTTAATTTCAAACTTGGCGGGCATGCAGAGCAGGTTTTCACTCACTTGTGAAAATTTGTTTCCATTGGCGAACCGTACAATGAAATGTCAATAATTTGAGCTATCTGGGAATAAATAAAGACCGTTTTGAGAAAATGTTAGTACGTTCACACACGCCTACAGTATTTTAGACAAACAACATGCAATAAAGTATACCGAACTCACCACTAGCGCAAACGTGATGCACCCATCAAATATATTTTTCTGAAAATAAGGTAAGATAACATCAGATTTGAATTGAACAATCCGAGATAAGCATTTCTATAACAGGCCGAATGCTGGGCAGGAGCCATATACCTTATGCGATACATATCGTTGCCAACCAACTGCCCAAATTTTGAGACACTAAAATATAAAACGACAATTGTTAATATTCTTTTACTCAATACAAACGCTCCATACAAGAACTGTTCTATACAAAAATATAGGATGACACAACTGCTGCTATATGAATAAAGGAAGACAAAGACGGATATATTAATTGAGAGGCTGCTGCATTAGTACAATGTTTCAGAGGTGCCTAAAGAGATCATCGGGGGTTTTAGGTTGGATAATTCTCCATAGCCGCCTTTCCATCCTAAATTCAAAGGCGAATAGTTAAAATAATAGCTTTTAAACATTGCTGTGGAAGTGTTTAAACGTTTTAACAAATCTTTGCACCCTCTTCCCGAGTGCAATTGGAATGCCCTTCTCCCTCTCACCCTGGGTGGAAAACAGCCATGCAGATGAGAAATAAGCATTTGTGTTTTTGAAAGGTACCTACTTGTTCTAGAAGGTAGTACACAATAAAAAAGAAGTCCGCAGCCTAAAAAAGAATGAATCAGAAGGTAAGTAGCATATACTGAATGCCATGAAGGTTTGAAATGAAAATTTGAATAATTCTGCTCACAGCCAAAGGGGAGTGAACGTCGAACGTATTTCGTCCAAAATGCCGGGAAAGCTCCACCTAGTTTATATAGAAAACAAAATATTTTATGGCAAAGCGATGCTTTACGATCAGACCAGCACACGTCGTTTTAAATTTGGAAAATATTTGCAGGTACTCACAAATATAATAACAACATTTATCACGACAACCACAAGACCAAAGTAGTTGAAGAAGTTGTGTATAACGATTTTCTGCAGTAAACGAAGATGGCGATTCGTGCAACGACTCAGCGGTGGATGCTGTGAAAAAAATGGGGGGAAAATTTGGAAACAAGAAATTTGGAAGCTGATTATATACCTTGAAATACTCATTGACAGAGACAGGGGTGAGCCACTGAGCTCACTACCCATTTGTGAGCAAGAACTGAATAGGGTCTCGGTGAGTAAATGTAGAAATATTTACGTTGGCATGGAATAAACCACAAACCTGGGTCCTTCGCTGTCCTGTGACCGAATCAAATAAATCTTGAAACTGTTTGGCAGTCAGCTCACCGCGACGATTGCGATCTAAAATCTTATATTTACAAATACGAATTCATGGATTACTGCATGGGATTGTAAATAGAAACGAGTATTATTCAACATAAAGAGGCGATATCAGGGCGCATGAAAATTGTGCGTCAACGTGAGAAGTTGTTTGGCAAGGGTGTATAGACAAAAGCTATCGCGAAATCAATATATTGGTGGATATAGTTTCTAGTGAAAAATATCCACCGTACGTCCTATTTAACATTGCAAAGGACATTGTGGCACAGCCCCATCAGGCATCAGCTTAGTTTTCATGTCATCTTTATTATTCATATACTAAATCCGTGTATGCAAATATCTTCGATACTTACGTCCCATATAACGTCGATGTTTTTGCGCCCAAAGTCCACCCTTTGGATCAACCGTCGCGTGAGCAAAGTGGATACGGTACTAGAAGGTAGTATACAGTGTGTCAGTTACGACAATATTCCTCCGTCGCTAACTTTATTGCAAAGTGCAGCATATAAGAGTGAATAGAGGCGCCCTATTCACCGGATAGAGACTTTTCCAATTAACCAGTTTGTGATTCTTCCAATTAACCAGTGCTTTGAACGTTACAGAATGTTAAATATTGACCCAACAATGAGTAAAGGCTGTTTTCCACTTACACATTTTTCATACGCACGTACACGCACGTAAAAGTCTAAATCCTTATACATGTTACCTTTGAAAAAGCTAAGTGAATAAATCGATTTCTGAAAATTTTAGTATGCATTAGTTATTGACCTAGATGTTAAATAATAAAAGTTAAAAGCATTTAAAATTTTCCGTACGTGTACGTGCGTATAAAAAACGCAGCAAAGTGGAAAAGCAGCCTTAAAGCTATAGAGAAACAGAGGAATACTTCTTGCAGGAATAGGGAGGTTATATTAAATTCAAATTGTATCAGATCGCGGGCAATTTTAGAGCCAGAAAAAACCTTCGAACAACCGGCCCAAGAACATCAATGCAGTGCTCAGCAGTTGACCATGCAAGATCCGCAGCATACCTTTAATCCACAGTCAGAAGGGCACATACCTGCTTTCCATCGAAGAACTAGCAACATGTTCAAAGGATCTCTCCCTCAAAACTTCAAACGCAGCACGAACACCGGTTCGCAAGCGGAAATAGCTCGACTGTAGTGAATTCTGAAAAAGATGCATGGAAAATAAGTTTGCAGATTTTTCAAAAGAAAGCTGCACCGCACTTAATTTCCAAGATTGCCTGTTCTACCGCATGTAAATAACTATTCGACCATTTCTACTACATCTATCTAGTTTGTACTTTTAAACATAATTTATCTTGTATATTTGTAACATTCATGTAAAATTATATCTCTATTTCCTTGAAGGCCATGCAGTTAATGCACGTTGCTAAACTTTATTCTATCTATAACTCTATCTCTATCTCTGTCGTTAGTGAAACGTAGCTACTTTTTGAGACGTCCTTAGATGTACTTTTTAATAGCGAAGCCCAAAATAATCCTGCGCGGGGCTTCTATATGAAATTATATACCTTGTTCTAATAAACAATATCTACTCGATGCTTTTCTAGTATCGGGGATTTTTACTTATATAGCTTCAAATACCTTCAGATAACCTTGGAACTGCGAGTACACAACTGCTAGTAGAAGATTCATAAAGCAATATAATCCTGCCGAAAGAACAAGATTCAAATTATAGTTGTCAGTGTACTATATAAAAATTATAGGCGCATAGAATACACAACTGTTGGAAAGCACAGCGAAATTCACAGTTGTTTTCTAGTAGCTATAACAGTCTAAAGTCTAAACAGCAACAGTATACGTGGTGTAAGAGAAGTACAGAAAAATTGATCACACTCACCAATAAAGGTAAAAATAATAAAATACACAGCGTACAATCTGTTGTGTTTATATGCGGGCATCATTACTAAAAAAGAAACGAAAAGATAAGGATAATCTATACAAGTCTAGCTTTATGCAGGAGTTGTTGAGTAAGAGCTAATGATTTTAAATTTGGTTGGCTAAATGAAAGAGAGAAGTCCGAAAAATCAGAGAAAGAATGACGAAGACGTGACATATGCGGTTGTCCGGTGCACGGCGAGATCGATCCAGCGGGTATAACCGTCTTGGGGCAATCGCTCTAGAATATCAAGTGAGATAAACGGAACCGGTTCTTCTATGGAAACAGCACATTAATAAAAGAAATCGAACGCCATTCTCAATGTTAGAAGCATATATAATGTGATGTAGATGTGAAGGTGTTACAAGTTCTTTAAGTTTAAAAGAGAATGAGGGCTAATTGTCTTTTTTGTAGCTATAACACCTTCTTTGTAAATAGATCGCTTTCACGATGTCATTCACTGCGTGTAAACCCCCCGCCTGTGTAATTGTTTGTGATCTGTTAGTCAGATGATGATCTTGCAAAAAAGTATTACAACTCGCGCTTATGCTCTTGGTCTAATCGTGGTCTAATCCACATTTTGGATTCCTCATGATGCAATTTTCGGATTTTGCTTTGTCATTTCAGTTTAAGGTTAAACTGGTTTTTGGCTATAGCTTAGCTTATAGGTTTATATGCCACAGCTTGTGGAGGATAACGCTGTATTATAGGGGTCAGCGGAAGAAAGATCAAATACCGCCTTTTGATTAAATACCGCCTTTTGAGGAAAAAAGTTGAACGAACCGTTTTAAGTTATACCTTAACTAACAGTCGTATAAAAAGCATGCTAGTAAATTTTTTAATTCAATTCTTAATCAAAATATAAATTCATTTTTGATTCAAAACAGAACGTTGTTCCACAAATACTTTGATAAAAGAAATGATATGGCCGCGGCCATTTTGAAACAAAATTTCCAAAATGGTGGGCATTTAGTTATTCAAGTGAAATGATTTCAAAATCTGTCGAATTTGCATGAAGTTCATTTACGTTCATAAAAATATATTCACTAGCCACTGTACTCCGTCTGCATGTGAACTCAGTAAGGCTTTAGGCTGAAGTCTCGAGATAAGCAAACATTTGTTTATCCAGTCTGTATTGAAGTTAAATACGGTCCCAGTTGAATAAATAAAACAAAATATTAATGATTATACCGTCAGGATTGTTGGCCGTGGTTAAAAGAACGAGAAGTTTCATCAAACAATCAACAAAATGACTGCCAAGGTAACTATGGTGTCGTACATCAAGAATTTTGCTACGATTGACTACGGCATTCTAGAGATAAAAATTTTAAAATCGTTGAAATTAAAATGGAACGTTGCATGTGGCTGGTGCCGAAAATGATCGAAAAATTTTACAAGCTTCGGAGAATTGTGCAACATACCCCACTATTGGTCGTATTGGTCAAATTCGCCATCATGCCATTCTTAAATGAGACCTGCAGGAAAATAAGAAGATATAACATTGTGTTCAGGATTGGCCTCAGAGTACTGGGTAGGACCGTGGGAAGCTATTTTTGGTTGGGAAGCTGCAGTAATGCTTTCGGCGCCCACCTGTCCCATGCAGAAAGGAGAACCAGCGAAAAGGCTTCTGATCAGTGAATATAGGCTATAGGCTTGTAATCACCTCGCCTTCAGCGACTAATTGTTAAACGTTTCCCCCTTGAATTATCATGTTTCCCATACGCCACAAAGCGGATGGTTGCAAGTAATGGGAATCCCTGCTCGGTACTATGCTCAGCAGTTAAAAACTTGACTCAACTAATGACATGTGTGTGTACCTGAGAAGATGAAAGCAGCAACATCCCAAGAAAAGTGAAGATGACCAGATGTAAAAACAGCAGAAAAAATACACTAAAATAGAGTCGTTAAGAGACTCTTTAAGTAGAATCTTGACTCAAATTATTGTATTTCGCACTGGAAATTCTTTTCAAAATCCATATTAAGGAAATATAGTATATACATAGAGTTGAAAATAGTATGGAAGTTTAAAATATCCATACTAAGGAAATGACTATGGATATAGTATGGAAACATTATAGATGTTGAATATTTCCATAGTGTGGATTTTGAAAAACAGTTCCATGCAGTGAATCGATTTCCCGAGATGAAGACGAAAATAGGTACTACACCACTCTCGAGATCAGCATCTCATTTCAACCAACCTTAATATCTGTGGGACTGTCCTACTAATGGCCCTAACCTAAAAAGAAAAAAATAAAGAGAGTCAATTTCGCGCGAAATACATCTACATATAGGTCATCCACATTCACAGAAGCTTTCGACATTTTGAATTATACGGCATGGCAACAACCTTTTTAAATTTCGAACAGTCCACAGCTGTACGAGCGTATTTTCCTGCTGTCAGAAAGTGGAACAACGTCCGATCTTTCTTTATTTATTTTCTAATAAGAATATATATATAGGCTCTCCTTGTAGAAAAATGAACTTACAGTCTTCTTCATTAGAGAGGAACTTTGCAGAAGAAAATATGGTCTCAAAATACGACGAATTCGATATCTCTGGAAAGCAACGATTGCAAGAATCAGAGTGAACGCTCCCATGCAGAAATAACCGCTTCCATGCACGAGTTATATGTTTCTCGTCATTCTGCTTCTCACCTCGTTACAACCGTAATTTATGGTGACCAACCAATCAACGAGGGAAAACACCAAAACGAACACGTAACCCCAGAGCCACTTGCTCTTTTGGACTTGCCTTTTGCCGAACAAAATCATCTGAAAATAGGTTGTAAAAGAACTGATCAGAATGGAAAAAAAGGCTAAGGGAATGTGTATACAACCTGGATCCGGGAAACTTCGCAATATTCGAGAAAGGTAGCGAATTGATTTAAAAGGGAACCCCCATTCCATAGTGGAAATAGATTGTAGCGTACGCAACATAAAAATTCGGGCTGTCAAATCATAGCTTTCTAGCTCTAGTTCGATACACGGACACATGAACACGTTATATACACATGGAACGGTCAACACTAGGCGAAGAAAAATCTCGGGCTAAAACTACAGGGTAATAAAAAGAAAATGAACTTGATGTTTTAAAACTTCAGGCAGAATCAATGTTTTTACATGAAACGAAGAAGTTGCACAAAAATTCACCATCGTCATCGAGTTGATTTTCGCCGAAAGACAACATGGTTGCTAATTTTTTTTTTCTCGTTTCTATATACTTTAATTTGACTATAAACTTTGATCGTAGACATTTATAAGCATAAAATAATGTGAGCTGACGAAATGAATGGCAAATGAACACTGCCGCTATACCTTGAGACTAAGATCAACAACGTAAAAGATCAAACAAGCAAATTCGATGCTCTCCGTGACACCACATGGAACGTTCACCCTTTGGTTGTCAAAATTATGTCGTGGGTCAGATGACCACCTAAAAAACACCCCAGTTTCCTGAAGGATTTATTACTCAAATTATAATCCTACTTTAATGCTTGGTTGTTACACCTGGTGAGTTAACTGCTTGTGTTACAGCCACATGGAATGCAAATACTATATTGTTCATGCACCTTTGCATGCACTGGTATATAAGAATTTTGCAGGGTTATGCATACACTGCATATGTTACAGGCCTGAAGCCTGTGGACATTGCTGCAGAGTGCTGAACTCAAAAGACAGATGACTTTGCTATCGCCAAGTGAGAGGGATCTCACCTCCCAAGGTGAATTCCTCACAGAACATGCATGCAAAGAAATCAAATAAAATAACTACATTATAACATTGTTAGCTTAGTATGCTGGCTCCTGTGTGTGGTGAGCCCAAGTAAACAACTTAAAAAGCTAGCTTTTAATTGCATGCCTAATATTCCAAACTTGGAAAGTTATGAAGAATGTAATTACAATAACATTTCTGAAATAACTTACGACAGAGATGACGGTGGTTCCACAAATGCCAGACATAAGTTGGTAAAAATGACAACACTCAGACTCCTGCAATTTAGATAATAATTAATTTTCAATATTCAGATGTTGACAGGCCGGAGTATTTTTGGGAATGTATTACATTCGTCTGAAGGATGAGAGGCAGAGTATATCATCCACATTGTGAACCAGATTTGGGGAGGTTAGCAACTGGTGCAAAGTTTTCAAGTTGAAAGGAATATTAGAGGACAGAAGGTGCAATGGAAGGAATCGAATCAAAGGATTTCAGTAGACCCAAAAATTTAGTCTTCACACATTGAGTTTTGAATGTTCTTTTGATTTTAAGTGGTCTTTGAAAGTAGCAGAGACACTTAAGAAGACTGTAGCATAAAAATTTTTAGTTTTAGAATAATTAAAACACATCATGTATGAATTCCTCCAAATTATCAAGCTGGCTCGATCAATTACCTACTGGACTACTTTACTATAACAACTTCAATTAAAATAACAGAGAAGTTTGGTACCAACCATTGAAATGAATTTGAATAATATATTCGGTATAATCGTAGGGATCTTGCATCAATTTTGTGATGAATTGATCGGTACTTGAAAAAAGAATGGAAGACTAAAAATACTATCTCTACTTTATAGTTTCACTGATTCCAACCACATTACTGGAAAGGTATCCAGAAACTTTACTAATTAAGGTACTAAGGTACTAATTAAGCAACAGCTGGTACACTTGTTCAATTATGTGAGGACCAATTTCATTATTTCTATGACTGTTAAACACTGCATCTTTTCCCAAAAGAGAAAGCATTTTTTATACAGATTACCACAGACAGTGGAAATATCAAATTTGTGGGGCAAGTGTGAACCATCCTAAAATAGACTGTGATACGCTGGAGCTCATTCTAGACATGTTCCAATTAAACAGTCAATTGCTTATAAAAGCTAGCCATACGACTAGTTCAGGATAAAATATATCAATGTTGCCCTAGATTTTGCAGCCTGGCAAACTCTGATTTTACACATGATACAGTGACTCTGCACGTTCAATGTACAAAACCACAAATGTACATAATTGTGTACATGTGATTTATTGTAGCCATATCATAACAAAGGGACGTTTTTCACGAAGCTATCATACTTTAAATGCATCTTCTATGAATATAGCAGCTTGAGCTAATGCGAGTTCATCTAGAGAGCAAAATAAAATAAACAAAATTAACATTCTGAGACCTCATCAGTACGATTTCCAGGATTCAAAAATCGAACAAAAGCGATCGAATGCTTCATAATATACCTCTTTCGGTTACAGAATCTTGTCGCAATAAGCTATAGTCACTTTCAGATGTAAGTTCTTCAAAATCTGGAATATTTGCAGACATTTCTCATATTTTTTCATGTGAAGGGTGTTCAACGCAACAAAATTTACAATTTTGCAACATCTTTCGTTTCAAAATAAACACTATGACGATAATGAGGATAATTTATTTCGACAGCGGGAAATTACAAGACTGGGGACGAGTATTAATTTGATTAGTTAATTCTCATTTTCAGAATTTCAGAAGAGAAATGCTGCCTGAAAGTGAGAGTTAAAACATTATAATCTGTTCACTGTTCGGCTTGACAATCTCGGTATACGTTCCGACGGGAATTCTCTATAAAACGTTAGTAATGTCCAAGAAACGAGACTGCGGTTTTTGTTAGATTTATGTTGAGAGACCGGCCTGTACGAAGGCTGTTTAGCTCAGTTAACATATTGCGCTTCACTTTAAAGGTACTATATCGTTATTTACATGTGCCTAACGCGGAAAATGCAGTTACACCACTAAATACTCCTATTTCAATTCAAAACATGACCACAGCGACTCAAGAATGCGGAAAGTGCAGGTTTAAAATGAAAAACATGCAGAAACCCTACAACTTCGTACCATCTTAAGTTTCCACAGAATGATAGGCCTCTGAACAAGGGATGATTGCACCGAATCCAGTACAAAAAAACTGTCCACATATATATAGCCGCTAATATGAGTTGAAACATTTTCGAAAGACAAGCAAGGTTTTTAAAAATACAATTTTTTTTTCGCAAAAAAGACAAACCAATTTTCTTTGCCAATGTTTCAAGGTATCAAATTCAAAACTGACGTGATATATCCTAGCTTATATTATTTCCGCATTCCGCTAAAATATGTTCGGCTATTATGTCTGTCAGTAGTCCGAATGAAATATTCGCAGTTATTTACCGATTTATGTATGGCTAAGATAAGCCTGTATATCGCTCGGCAGGGGTACAGAATATACTTACGAGACACTCTCCTCCGCAGAGGCTTTTTGGGTAATCTAACAATAATTGAGAATTATATAATACAATTGAGAATTATATGATATAATTCGTAGTAGCGGGCGGACGGGAGGGAGCTAATAATAGTAGCGGTGAGTGGCGGGCGGACGGGAGGGAGTCGGGCGGTTGCGGGTTGAAAAATGAAATTTGAGAAGCCTCTGCCATATAATGTTTCCAATATGGCGTCAAATTACATATCATATTATAATTACGTATCATCTCATGAATATTTTTCAAAATAAATATGGATGAGACTATAAATCAAACAAAGAATGTTTTGTCGTTGACTACCAGACCATTTCAAGAAGCGAATGTTTCCGGTAAAGTAATCTGTTCTAAATGTTATGAAAATACGAAAGAAATAAAATTTTATTTAGAAGATGCAGGTTTAATTCAACATTTTCGGGTGAAACATCGACATATGGCCCTTGACGAAAGACTTGTTAAAGAATGTAGGTTGCTATTTCAAGACTTGCATGGGCAGGAAACTTTCAGTGTATTGCAAAAACTAGCCAAGATTCGCGGCGAAGCAGTAAGTTAATGTTTATCTCTTTATACTTTTGTAATTTTGTCAATTTTAATTTTTATGAGCAGTAAAAGCACAAAACCACAACTGCACAAACTGATCTTTGCGCACACAATAGGCAAAATATAAATATCTATTAAAATATTTATATTTCAGAATGTGAACTGTTGCAGTTTGCAAAAGTACGAGGAGTTTTCGGTGGAACACATTACTGAAAATTTGGCTAACAAGATGACTACTCTTAAAGTTATGGCAAGCACGAGACGGGAGGCAGCAAAATTATATGGCTTATATTTGAAACACAGTGGCATTCTAAAACATCTTAGCGGGAATCCTTGTCATGTTCGAGTTAAAATATCTTCTAGTGTAACTGATCACCTTGGCCAATGTTTTAAACTTTGGGATGCATGTGCAAAAATTTATGCTGAATGTTTTGTTTCCCCTAAGAGGGTAAGTTACCGTTTTTAAAATTTGCAACATACATTAATACTTGCCAGGGTTCCTGTAGCATGTGGATATTTAAGTTTAGTCTTTTTAATTGAATACTCGTTGGCGTTGCTTTAAATTGTGCAGGCATTTAAAATTTCAAATAATTTAAAATAATTGTATAAAGTAGTATTTCTTGTTTGTATCTATTGCAGTCTATGTTATTGCCAAGACATCAAACACCTGTGCCAGACAAGTGCTTGCAAATGCAAATTTCTCGAGAATGTAAGACACCTTTGCAGTTTCTCCAAACAGTTTTTGGACATCAAGAATTCAGACCAGGCCAAGGTGAAGCTATTGAGTTTATATTGTCTGGAGAAGATACAGTTGTAATTATTCCAACAGGTGGTGGTAAAACAGTTATATATACTCTTCCTTGTCTAATGACACCTGGCTTGGCATTTGTAGTATCACCTCTTATTATGTTAATGAGTGACCAAGTTGCAAGACTACAACAATGTGGAATCAACACATGCTATTACAACACAATGCTAACTGATAATGAAAGACAGAATATATTACATAATCTGAAACAGCCAGATTGTCAATATCAGTTTTTGTTCATTAGCCCAGAAGCTATTGTAACTGAACAATTGAAACATTGCTTGAGTCAGATTAGTCATGAGAACAGATTGAGTTTTTTCATCATAGATGAAGCACATTGTATTAGCACATGGGGTAAGGAATTTCGCCCAGCCTACCAGCAGCTTGGTACCTTACGGAGCTACAATGTTCCAATTATAGCACTTACCGGCACAGCAACAACTGAAACTTTGGATGCAATTAAACAAACACTTGAGATGGATAACCCAAAGGTAGTGAAGATGCCATGTAGAAGAGAAAATCTAATCTATTCAGTTGTTAACAAGGATAATAAAGCTAAAGAACAAGTCTGTAAAATAATTGAAGATGATTTTGCAGATGTATGTGGTATAATTTATTGTGCTACCCAAGCAGATACTGTCGAAATTGCATTTACTCTAAAAGAACATGGTGTGACAGCTACATACTACCATGCAGGGATGGAGGGTGGACAAAGGATGCAAAATGCTTTGCTTTGGCTAGAAAACAAGGTCAGAGTTATATGTAGCACAAACGCATTTGGAATGGGGATAGACAAAAAAGATGTTCGGTTTGTAATTCATCTAACTCTTCCTTCATCTTTAGAAGATTATATACAGGAGTCCGGGAGAGGAGGCCGTGATGGACACAGATGTGATTGCATTTTATTATTTCGTTTTGGTGATAGGATGTTCCATTTAAAGAACATATCTCAATTGTCATCAGAGCAATTTAAAGAAAACAAGCATATTCTTCTTAATGCTATTACAAGTTTTTGTATGGAGCGTTCAATTTGCAGAACACAGTTTATTACAAAATATTTTTCAGAATTGCCAGGTGGTGCATGCAAATTGTGTGATATCTGTCAAAAAGAAATTACCCACCAAATCAAGGATTTCACAAATGAAGCAAAAAGCATACTGGCATGCTTGACAAGTATGGTTGCAATCCAGAGCAAAGTAAAGGTCAGCATGCTGACAATGACGTATATGGGTTCCAAGGCGAAAGATATTGTTAGTAGTGGATTTCACATGGTTCCACAGTATGGAAAGGGTAAGGCCAATTTCCGAAACATTTCAGTTCTTACACACTTTGTACATTTTTTGATCTTCAAAGGATTTTTGAATGAACATGTTCAGCATGTAGAGGATAGATTATCATCAACATACCTAACAATTGGGAACATTCAGAATTTATCAAATGACTCTTGTAAGGTGTTTTATTGATGGGCATGTAAAGTAGTGGCAACAGCATACATTTAAACTGCACTTAAGATTAACTAAATATATTAGTAGGTAATTGTATATATTAATGCATTGTTCACAATCTATAGTAAAGATGGTTGCACACAAATCTGATTCTGGTTTAAGATGCAATTTGATGAAAAATAAGGGACACCACAAATCACACCACTAATTTTGTTTTAGGATGCAATTTGATGAAAAATAAGAGACACTACAAATTACACCACTAATTGTTTTTCTTAGAATCGTTTTATGTGCACCAAACTTTATAAGAAAGTTGGGTGGTATGTCACTGCCAATGACCAGTTGCTATATATATAGTTTTGCCACTGCTGTGTTTTCCATTTCCCACAGTAATATATACATAAAACAGTAAACAAATGCCAAGTTAGTTACACAATTTCAAGGGCAACTGTGCAGTTCACAAAATTGTACTATATGGACAATAAAATCCATATGTGATATGATTGTGATGCTTAACAATCAGAAGTGCGAGTTTTCCCCCAAATTTTTGCACGAAATGTTGCCACACATCTTTATTGTGTAACCCTTGCATTTCATTTCTGCAAATGCACTGGTAGATAGATCTATCTCGTAAACTTATTGTATCATGATGTATAAAATCCTTATCCCATAAGGATTTTATACCTCAAATCAGGAAAGGAGTCATACAGTTTTGCTTTAAAGCCATCCCTGATCTTCTCTTTACCTTTCTCGACCACATCAATCAAATTCTTGGGGACTTTTCCACTTGCATCACCTTTACCATCGAGGGAGTAGCATTCAATTTCTTTCCTTTCGTTTTCTTCAAAAAATGCCTTTTGGACACAGAACCAGGCACCTTTAACCTGGTCTGGTAATGGATCTTGGACAGAATGTCTGGCAGTATGGTGTACATCAAATCCCTCTTTCTCCATGTATGCCCTTCTTATGTATTTCAACATATTCAGGTTGGCCATTAGCCGCTCGCACATATGAACTGTTGTGTGATTAGACACGTAATTCTTCAATGGCTGTACTAATTCGGATTCCACGTAAGCGTCGAGCTCTATTCCATTACCAGGTTTCCCAAGAAGGTTGACACAACAATTCTTCTGCAGCAAAATTCTTGTCGCAGCTGGCCACTTTACTAAGAAATTAACAATGTGCCGGAAAACTTCGGTGTAATAGTTACGGAAACCTAGTTGAGCGTACATGGGAGCCTGAGCTTGATATACAGCCTCGCGCGCATAACCATCTCCATTAGCTGTTGCCGCGTCATACATTTGCTGGAGGGGACCATACAGCAGAAATGAAGTAGCTCTGTGTTTAAAAGCAACATCATTTTCACATGATTTTGATAGCCACTCTTTAAATTTGGATAACAGCGTAGTGGTTGTGCTGCCCGTATTACGTAGTTGTTCTTTTGAAGGAAACTCGTTACTTCCCGTAAACTGAAGAGCTGCCGCAATACCGTATGCTCTACACGCATCGTTGATACCTTCTCTAACTTTTACTAGATTATTTTCTTGAAATTTTTTCTTTTTAAAAACTTCGCGTGTAAGTCTTTTTCGCTTAAGAACTTCTGATAACAAATAGTGAAAACCCGATGAACCATGCACCTTATATACCATTTCGCAAAAGTAGCCTAAAACAACAATAACAACAAAAATTTTTAAAAACTTGGTTTGAACCTTGTGATATCGTGAAGTGTTTGTGAAAGTTGATCGTCCAAGATGACAGCCGCTCAGGTTATCAAAATGCCAGTTACAACTTACAACACCATCGTTAACGCTTTCCCAAATACTTCACAATAAATTAACAATTACGGCATACCCCTATATGTAGTCCGTTTGGGAGGTAAAGTAGTAAACTTGAAGTCTGTAATGTAGAGCTGGTACATGTAAGACACATAAAGTATTGACATAGACATTTGTGCAATGTAAGCGCTAAAATAATGAGGGGTATCTGTTTCCCATGTTTAAATAAACCTAACGCTCATATTGTACAATTATCTACAGTATGTCAACCTTAATTGAAATAGCTGTATATATGAGTGTAATCATGTGTAATTTACTTTGTTACCTTTGTTGTGAAGGTCACCAGGACATAGACCAACCCACTGATACGACCTCGACCTGGACATAACCGCGCTATTTGTTTTACACGTTCCAACGTCTCCTACGATAGGCGTTATAAATCCGGGGACAGTTCGGTTGAAATGCTGGACAGTTCTTTTAGGATGTTCATTTGCGGTTAAACTCTCCTGAAATGTTGCATCGATTGAACGAATGAAATCATCCTCTTCGTCTGACAATACCTGGTCGTATTCAAATATTTGTTGAATGTCCTCAAGATTCAATTCTTTAGCCATGCTGAGTGGTGACGGAACACTTGTAAATAACGGTCCAGAATATTTTGCTCCTGATTCAACTAAATACTTGCATATATTACCGTTTTTCCCATGAACAGCAAGGCTTAGGGGCGTCAAACCACATCCCTCTCGGCAGTTTACATCCATACCAAGTTCCACAAGATACTTTACAAAGTTCTGATGACCTTGTTCAACAGCTACATGTAAGAGACTCCGTTTCAAATGGTCTTTGACTGTTGTTAATGCTCTGTTTTCAAGGCTCGAAATAGACATCATGTAAGTCTCTTCAGAATTTGCAGTGTTAGCGCTCATCATTTCATGCATTAAACCATTATACGCTTCCCAGAATGGTTTGTCTTCATTCTGAAAGCGATTCCTTTCTCGTTCAAGAGTAACGGTCTCTTTTGTAGAAGTACGAATACCTGGAGCGTCTTCTTCATCAGAAGCAAACGAAAAGTCATCCTGCGAATCGTCTTCTGTAAGTCCGTCGAAGGTTTTCCTTGTCGATCGCATTTGACTTTCGGTCCGCTTCATATTCTGCTCGTGACTCTTTTGGCTAAGTAGTAGCTCGAAATGCGCCCTTGAAGAAATAACATCAAAATTACCAGCAACGCAGTTGAACGGTACACATTCTGCATTTTTTCCCCCTTCTGGCAAACTGAAATCCTTTGACAGCTTGTCCAAAATACTCATTGTTCCAAAGATTGTGCTATTATCTTCCAACGACAGTGGCAATATGTGTACATTGCTCTTCGAACTGTGGGATGCATTCGGTAGGAGATCCTTTTCTACTGGTATATCTAGCGTATACTTTTCAGTGCTCTCGAAATTAGAGGCAGTGGCTATATATGCATCTATCTGCTTCTCAGTCATTTCCTTAAACTGATGCACAGTGAATGGCAGTTTGTTCAAAGCAATATCTAAAAGTTCCACTAAGTACTTGTCAACAAATGCATTAAATAGTTTTGCCTTCTCGTCGTCACTCTCTAAAAAAATATCGTCTGGCTTCATGTCCGTCGCTGAACCTTGTGGTGTTATGCAAGATTCCTTATCATTGAGTACTTCATCCATTCCATCTACATTTGGTATTAACAATGCTTGACCAGTAAAGTTCCACATTGTTGGACCAGCACTTTTGAAAAGACGCAAATGTTTCCTCTTCCCGCGGTAGATGTTTATATTGTCAATCATCAAAATGACTGGAACATTCACTGGGGATAACTGGGCAATATCTTTCTCTCGTTTCTTTTGCTGCTCGTCAAAGAATTTCATGGCCTTCTCCCAGCTCACCGTTAAGCCCTAGATGATTCATCATGGTGACAAATCTGAGCCCTGCTCCAAATGATATGCAAAGATATGTAAACATGAGCCTAAAATCGTTGGTAAGTTTTTGATTTCTCAAGCTCACCAAAATAGCTAAAGCATGGACTGCACTCTTGACACGATACTCACTGACAGGTCGCCCATTTTTCTTGTGTAGAAAAATAGTACATAGCACATTAAACAAAAGTGGACAATTATCTTTAACATCTGAAGTCAATTTGGAAAAACATCCAGTGAGGTCACATTCAGTTAATGTTTTTGAACTAAGTTCTGTGTTCAAAAATGTAGAGAATACAGAAATTTCTTTTTGTAATTGATCTACTTCAAAAGTACAAATATTTTCACACTGAGTCTGTTTTGATGTTAACTGGTTAATTGCTTTCTGAAGTAGACTTGTTAGTAAGTCATTCAGTTCCTGCAGTCTGTTGTGTGCTTCTAGTTGCTTGTGTAGCAATGCCTTCACAACATCTTTGTTTACATTTTCTTTTGATAAATGGTCATCAACATTCTTTCTTGCTAAATCAAGTTCATTAGTAGCACTGGATATCAGTGTCTTGATGTTTGCTATCTCTGGACTTTCGTTTAATTCCAGTGAGGGAACATTGCTTGTGGACACTGGTGCAGAAAACGATTTAATACAAATATTTTTATAAAGCTGAATGCGGTCTGGTCCAGTACCTTTTCTAATGACCATTGAGTTTGGAAATGCCAATTTGACAGCATTTGTGGCCTGTATTTTTGTAGTTGTTCAACTGTAGCACCTTCATAACAGCTTCTTGCTTTACCTGAGCACCTTCTCTCTCTTCAAAATGCTCTAACAACATTTTGACATAGCTCTCCCTTCTTCTTTTGTAAAATACTCCACTTGGCTTTGGCAGTTCGCATGACTCTATTAAAACACAATAAAAAAACAAAGTTAAGTATACAGACATAAAGTTAATGTTACATTCAATTAATATTACTGTACTTTTACATTTTAAACCACAGTGCTACTATCTTATTGTAATGACAAACATTATGATAGCTATAATGGAAAGCTTCAATTTGTGCTAATAGAATGTGCATCCACCAACACACATTAAGTAACTCAAACACAATAAGGTTTAGGTGTTTAGCTGTATACTGTATATAGCAACTGGTTATACAAAACATATAAACTAAAATGTTCAGGTTATGAAGAAAAAACATTTTTGTAGATTTTAATAATACAATATAAATTTAAAATATGATAATTAAATATTTGAAATAAATTTTCAATTTAACATTTAAAGGTTCATTAATAATTAACAAAGAGGGGAGGGGGCATTTCAACCCAGCAGTTTAGGGGAGGGGGACTGTCAAATTACCTAAAAATAAAGCAAGCAGTTTAAGGCAGGGTTTGCAATATACAGTACATAACAATAGAATAATTTATGAAATAATTACCAGATGTTAACAAAGGACTTCCAGATTGCATATTCATGATCTTTGAAGGTGGCTCATTTTGTCTTTTTGAATCTGGTGTCAAATCATGCTTCCCAGCTACAGGTACTAGTTGCCGTTGTTTCACCTTCTTTGGAGTACTTGTCAATACAGCACTCTGTATTGGCATGGGCAAACAGCCAAGGTCTTCATCACCAGCCTTCTCAGCAGACATAGGAAAACAAGCAAGGTCTTTACCATCATCTCTCTCAAGTGGCATTGGCAAACAACCAAGATCTTCATCATTATCTGATTTATGACAAATTTCAGGATAATCAATTATGGATAATAATTTGTAGTTTACAGATTTATACAATGAACTGCCAGTATAGTGTAAACCACTTGCATTCAGTGGTGTAAACAGAAAAACAAAACAAAATATACGATAAAAATATATAAATACAGTAGCCTGTAGCTGACGACGATTTTAATATATGCAAGCCAATGCAAAATTAACATAACTACATATGTAAATACTTTCACTTCTGAAACTTGCCAAAATATCAAGGCAATCGAATGATATTAATTAATCTTGCATCAATATTAATATAAACTTGAGTAAATTATAACATTTTATGCATTTGTTAAAATTAAACTAATATATTATACTTACCATCTAGACTCATATTATGAAAAGAGCGCTCAATTTCTTCTATATCGCTATCGAACTCAGCCATTATAATATCGATTGTACCAGTAAACCGCCAAAACCAAAGAACCGCATTTCACACCAAAGAACCGCACGTTATATGGCAGAGGCTTCCCTTCTTTTTTTCCCCAACCCGCAACCGCCCGACTCCCTCCCGTCCGCCCGCCACTCACCGCTACTATTATTAGCTCCCTCCCGTCCGCCCGCTACTACGAATTATATCATATAATTCTCAATTGTATTATATAATTCTCAATTATTGTTAGATTACCCAAAAAGCCTCTGCGGAGGAGAGTGCTTACGAGATATGTCTGGTCGCCACGCCCAATTGAACGCTATGCATAATTCCGTCACTCGAGATTGCAAAACGATATTATTTATCACGACCGATCTGATCACACCAAAACTGTCTGATGCAAACTTATTATCGAACAAGTCACAGGCGAAAAGTTGGTGTGGTCTTTCAAGACAAGTGCATGCATTGTTGCATTTCGTTAGCCACTCAATGCCCGCCTTGGTTTTTCAAATAGAAAACAAATATAGCTACACGTGCATAGTCGTCCTACAAACCAGGGTTGCCAGATTACAGAAAAAAAAGAAGCCAAACATTGTTATAGTCGGCGCTTCGGCAACCCTGCAACGGCAAACTGATAATTATAGCTAATGCCTATAACATTTTCCTCTTAATAACCAGAAATAGACCTTGTGGCGCGGCAGCCAGATCGATGGCGCCTATAATTACAAATATTTCATCGCCTTACATCATGTATATGCGAACAAAACGAGTCACGTTCCCTCACGAGAAGCACATAACTAAATAAATGCATAGCCAGCCCAGAAATCGTTTTCGTTTTCGTCATCTCGTGGCGCAAAAAAAGGCCATGATCTATTGCGAATCTAAATTCAGTAACGATGCATGAATATATCATAACTATCAGGAGATAATGTTTGGCGTATTTCCCGTGAAGTCTGAAGAGATAGAATGACTTAAGGTGGCTCCCTACAGTTTTAAGAATATTGTGAAAACTAATGATTTAGATTGAAATTTTTGGCAAAAAATTTCTTGCTAAACGAAATGAAATTTTCCAGATATATTAACCAACATTCTAACAGTCGAAACTTGTCCTTGAGTATCACGTCATTACCGTTGTTATGGTAGCAATGGCGATTCAATATGGCCGTCATTTTACCTATTCCCGCATTTTACTCGAAAACAAATTCGGTTACCTCATTTTTTTATTTTATAAAAACTTTTCTTAGAAAAAAATGGGAAATTTGAGCAAGTTTAAAAAAATTCTATAGAGCCAAAAAATTTCTATAACGAAAAATCATTTGAATAATTTTGGCTCTATAGAATTTTTTTTAACTGTTTTTTTTTAAGAAAACTTTTTATAAAATAAAAAATTGCGGTAACCGAGCTTGTTTTCGAGTAAAATGCGTAAATAGGTAAAATGTCAGCCATATTGAATCGCCATTATTACCATAACAACGGTAATGACGTCATGCTTATGGGCGATTTCTGACTGTTAGAATGTTGGTTAATATATCAGGGAAATTTCTTTTCCTTAGCAAGAAATCTCGTGCTAAAATTTTAAATCAAAATCACAAGTTTTCAATATTTTAAAAAATTGTAGGGAGCCACCTTAAAGACTGCTTTCCACTGTCGTGTTTTTTTGCTCGTACTACACCACTGTCACTGACACTGACCTATATACTAGTACGCAAAAGCTTGAAACATTTCTATGCAAGAAAAACTAATTTTATGCCAGAAAGAAACATGCATACATTCAATTCAATCGTTGATTTCATTCATAAGCATTATTTAAATTATTTTATGTTATTGTACGTCTACGTAGCTACGTACAGAAAACATGCCAGTGGAAAACAGGGCGTTTTTGCACCGGGTTTGTAACAGTTTTAGACGGGTTTCTTTCACTTAGGGCTGTTTTCCACCGTCACTTTGCATGTACGTACACGCACGTAAAAGCGGCCTACTATAAAACCATCTAATGGCTGCTTTCCAGTAACGCATTTTTTTTACGCACGTACACGCTCGAAAAATTTGAAATGCCTTTAAATTTTTATTATTTAATATCCAGGTCTACAAGTGCATACCAAAATATGTGCGTGTGTGCACGTGCATATATATGAAAAACGCGTAACTGGAAAGCAGCCCTAAGTTAATTTTGTATGATTAATTTAAACCAGAAAAAACATACCGAATCACCAAAAGAATCCAACCCTATGCATCTGTTCTATCGTTGATTTCATAAATATCATTTAAATGGTGTTATAAACTTTTACGTGCGTATACGTATACACGTGCGGAAAACGCGACAACCGGAAAACAGCCCTTTTGCGTTTTTCATATGCACGTACGCGCACGCTGGGTTAAAGTCTAAGTCCTTATAAATGTCATAGTTTGAAATTGAACAGGCTAGACGACTTCGTCTCCCTCATTAGTATGCATCTGTTGACCCATTTCTTAAGTTAGTAAAAATTTGGAAGCATTTAAAATTTTTCGCGCGTTAAGGCGTAAGTATAGAAAGCAGCCTATATATAGACCCTTTATATACGCTGTTTAAAATGAAATATAAAACTCTTGGTCACATACATATGTTTACATACGTTGTCTTGCAGTCACATGCGTATTTAAATATCTTAAGTTTCGGAAATGAAAATGTTTGAGAAGCACTTTTAAATGGAATGTATTCAAGTTGCATGTGGCTGTGTCTAAATATGCAAAACATCCTTTTTTAACAAATAATTAAGGTCGGAATACGAAAAGACGAACAACGGCTAAGAGGTCTAGCCTTGCTTTCCTGTTTTGTATCGGTTAAAATAAAAAGAGACGATCTTCATGCAAATGTTGAAGAATATTACTGTTTTGAATATTACCGTATGTAAAAAAGGACAGAGGAAATAAAGTATGATTTCCAATTTTCGGACTGTATTTATTCGCGAAAAACTCGCTATACAAGAAAAACCAATCCTCGCAACTCCCCACTGTCTGTGGCTGCTAATCAGAATGCAGCCTCGACTAATTTTTGTAAGGAAATTTTATATGTTCTTGTGTTAGCAGAGCTGCAGAGTTTTTTTGTCTTCCGGTACTTACGTCACAGCTTCTTGGTTTCAACTTATAGGACCACTTTAAATTAATTCTAACTTTTCGCTCACAATTAATATTTCTATATGATATGAATGACATTTGATTTGAGCATCGCCCTCCCACACGGGTCACGTATAGAACAAGCCTAGCCCGATCCGATTATCCAGGATTGAAATCTGAAGCGTGAATTAACAGTCAACTTGAAACTTATTGTATATAGTTTTCACATTATATCACAACAATATTATCACTTCGCAGTCTCTGTTCTGCTAATGCTAGGTAATACGTGTAGAGCTACACGGGTATAAAAGACTAGTTAACTTTTAGCTATAGTTAAGGTCATGCAGAATTGGCCAATCAGAGTTGCATGTGTATTTCTGAGTTAACTAGGGTTTAACTATGCAAAATGTTTAAAGAGTTTTATACAACAGTTTAAACTGAAATAAATTTATGGAGTATTCCGGACAATTATAAACCATGCATGCATGTACTAGTATTTTTTCTACCATTCTAAAAGGTTGGTTTTACTCAGTAAGACTGTTTACTGTGCACGGTTGGTTAATTCTAAGCGATTGCCATGTAGGATCAGTTTAGCTATATAATTTATATATATGACTGGTACGTAAAACTGATGTACAACCTCCATGCATGGTTGTCCCATTTTATACCAGAATCAGATCAGGATATCGCAAAATTCTAACTTTAAAAAGGAACTGAGTGCAATGTGAAAATAAGCTTGATTTATCTGAACTGCTCTTTTTGAGATCCTCGTAAGAAAAACCCCTTAGGTTTAGCGTTAGGCCATATAGTCAGTTCCTTTGGCTTCATATATAAACCTAAGGCTAAGCTTACGCATGTTTTAATACTGGAAACTACACTAGCGTCTACAGTTTTAAACTTTAAGTCAAATGCAGTGTTATAGCTACAAAGGGGTATAAGTACAAACTGAAGCATTTTTCACATTTGTTTCTTATCTAATTTCCGTTTCAAACTTAACTGGTATGTGACATGAATGCAAGCCATGCATTATAACCATTTTTGACAAAATCTTTGCTTATATGCACTTTGCTGCCGATTTCAAACCTCCAATACCCGATAGCTCTAAACATTTACATGTTTATACGCCTACGCGAGTCTTTTAAACAGCACAAAGCCATGCATATAGGCCGATAGAATACAACAATTTCTGTATAGAACGAATTCGAAACACAAACAAAAAGATGGTAATCATTGGCATAAACATTCTTTTGAAACTGTTCCATATGAAATTTTGGGCATTTGTTTAAGGCAAATCATTAGCAATCTGCTGCAATCGTGACTTTAAATTGCCGTTTTGTTCTCATGAAACACTGTCTAGAAACTCATTCAGTTGTAACAAAAATGCCTTTCATTTATTTCTGCTTACGGCTGGTCGCCAGGCTACCATTGTACTCACGACTGGTACTTAACGAGTGGAGAAATAATAAGCGAGTTTAATAACATTGTTTAAAACACACGAGAACCGAACACTTTTGCTTTGCTTGTTTTGAGTAAACAGTGTAATAGGTTTTTTGAACTGAAATAGTTTCACGTTAAACTGTCGGCTCTTGGCAACTGTGAAAACAAATTAAAAGCGAAAATTAGCACACACACAAGAGACGGGGGCTATTTTTGTAGACTACCGTGGGGCATTGTCCCAGGACGGAGCGTGATTGGTCAAAAGGCAGGTCTATACAAATAATGTTGTTCCATTCAGTGATTTAAAAAGAGCTTTAGGAGTTTTCTATTTTACACACGCGAGCGCTTTGGGTGAAAGGCCAATATAGTAAAGCATTTCGTTGTGTGATTGAAGAGATTTGGCGTGGGTAGCTCAAAGGAGAGGTTATGGAAGTTTTTGATATGTCGATTGTCAAACGAGAGCCTTTAGACGAATTTTCATCGGAGAACTCGTATTTGGATCAATTTATGGTAGGATTCTGACTTTGCCTGCATTTGTAATATCATTATGTTCCGAAATCTCTACACTGTTGCATATAGTATTGGGAAGCGAATTACCAACATTTTAGGATGGACTGTTGAAATTGAAAGATAGAACCGGTTATATATATAAGCTATTGGTGTGTGTTTGCAAGTTAGCTAAGTTGTAGCAATTTCCTGAATACATTGTAGTCGTCTTTAAAAGCAAATGATCAATTGAATTGAAGAGTTCGAATGGAATGTCATTCATGCATTTACAATTGTGTAAATTGTTTAGTCTTCCTGAGTTCGAGTAGTTCGAATTGACGAGCAATATATTTGTACACAATCCAATTAAAACAAACTTATATTTCGTACGACAACGGATTTTTGCACGAACGTTGTCGAGGCTTTGCATCGTATCGTAAATGATATTCCTGAACTTCACGAGAAATTTGATAACAAATCGTGGAAAGTCTTCCGCTTCGACGCGGTGAGCAATGCAACTGTATTTCGAAAAATCACTAACATTAACAACTGATATGAAGTATATATAGTATTTACGATACTTTGACTTTGTACTGCATCTTCCTTACTGCATTCATGTGGAATCATTTTACACATAAATTTTCTTGCTGTGCCTGTGGTCACAACAGTTAAAAATCCACTTTTGTCGTTCCACTCGAATTTCCGACAACAAATATCTAGCATCCTTAATATGCAGCCTAGACAACATATATTATCAGTTATAATTATCAGTACACGAACGAAAGCCATCGTGAAAAATAAAGCACTATATTTATATACGCCTTTCTATATAAATTGCCTATGGTATAGCCCTACAGCAACGACGTTTTCAGCGACACGCACTCCGTCGACTGGCTGTCCAATTTAGTCGAAGAACGCTCTGGGCAAAACATCGACCATCTTGGAAACATTCCCGACTATCCGAACTTGGTCCTAAACTCCTTAAATCGGGACCAAACTTTAAACAGTATAAACGGCCTCCCTGTAAACCAACGTGGAATGCAGGACGATATCCCCACGAACAATTTCAACGGCTACAACGGCTCTCCGATGGCGGCCGATTTTGAACACAGGCTCGAATCGGGGACGCACGATTTGGACAGCGATATGAAATCGTTTTACTCAAATCAACCATTTTACACGCAAAGCCTAAATTCGGTTGATACAATTGTGGAATTAAGCAATGTGGGTGCGAAGGGATGTCTTAAGGCAGAATTCACCGCGTCCCCGTGTGATGAAGACGAGGGAATACGATTAAGCGACCACAGCGATCGTGATAGCGAGTCGGGTATGTTGCTATTTTTGTTATGTTTCCAGCCTTTGATTTTTGTAGTGAAATTCTTTAAATATTTACGCTAATACGCTCGTATTGAATTTGTATTGTCTCCGACGATAAAGTTCTTTCAGTGAGATGCAAATCGCGTCACGATCGATCAGTCTAAAATTTATAATATCTAAAAACTAAGGAAAAAGCAATACGAATTAAACTTTCTCTTTCGACTTTACTGTTTCGTTTACGCTAACCATTGCTGCTAGCCTATATTGTTAAATCCTAAACAAAATATTAACGTAAACATTGTTATGACTGAACCTCTTTAATGGATTCAGACCGTATTAGTTGCAATTGAGTTTAGACTTGTGCGGCCGTCATAACTTCTCACCTAATGCACGTATGCAACCGTTACTTTTTGCAACATTCGAAATACTAAATGCACGCGACGAGAAGTTTCGGGATATTATTAAAACAATTTTTTCCGAAGTCATGCAACCTCGACCTATGTATGCAAATTTTGCCCTTTGGAACTTGTCAATGTTTACAATTGTTATGGCGCCTTTGTCTAATGGAATTTTCGAAACGCATTAAAATTTGATAACCGTGTGATTACGACCAACAATCGCTACCTTGATATACGTTTGGTGTTTGTAGTCATTTGCATCGAGGTTCAACCGATAGAATCTTACATTGTCGTTAAAAGATTCGAGTGTTGCAAGCCTGGCAGAAATTTTGCTGTTATTTCATATGCGAAACATGGGGGTCACGGCTTGGGAGTAGGTAGCAGCCATATTGTTCATGGTATACGTATTTAGAAAGCAGCCATATTGTTCGTGGTATACGTACTTAAGGCGCCCGAAAAAGCCAGAACCGCATCAGAATGAGTAGTTTTTTACTGAGTGGGCTGATGTCGAACAAAAGTTGATTTGAACGGCCAGGAATGATCGACAAGGACCTTGATCTTTAATCTCTGCAATTTCCCCCCACGTATTTAACTTGCACGCATTTTAAACGATCACGAAACTGTCAAACGTTGCCTTGCACGCAGGGTGTCATCAGTGGGCAACAAAGCTCCGAATGAATGAGCCATTAAACTGTCACTGTCACTGTTATTCGAGTTATTAGTGTTGCTAGGTTATATATAACGTATTGGATGCTTTCAAACGCGGGTTGCGGTGTCAGTAATTGTGTGTAGCCTAGGTACCGTTCTACAGTCAGTAGGCTGCCGTTATTCTTATCTGAGTCATATATCTCGCCCATGGGGGTTATACACAGCAAAAGAAGGCCGTAGCATAATTTGACACGATTGTTGTTGTGCTATTCAAGTTTTCAAAATATATCAAAGGCATTATCACTCAACACCCCTTCGATGTAGTACGATTTTCAAGAAAACAACAACGATTTCGAAGGTGCAAAATTTCCCAGCACTTTATTTTCGTGCAATGTACACAATCTCTAGCGATGTGAAATTTATCCTTCCTGTGCGATTATAGCTTGAAATTGTTTCGCCTGAACGGGCGTTGGCTATGCTAATGAGCCATGTCTTAGAATGCCATAAGCCGCCATGTCGGTCGAAATACTTGGAAAATCACGAGAACCATTGTTAAAGTGCTAAAGTAAATCTCACCGTGGAAGGCGATAGATTGAAAGTTCGCATGAGCAGTCTTCGAATTTTCAAAGTGCCCTTTGATTGGAGCTTGGAGTGTTCGCTTAAGTAAGTAATCCTTGATCAGAATAAGGTAATGGTGGATTTGCAACAGGTTAATATATGCTTCCTATTCGAAATCACAGCTTTTAGCCACTAGCATATTTGGTGTATTATAAATGAAAGCGGAATATTGGGCTGATTTTTTCTCTAAACAAGCCCTTTGTTGCTCCGGCTGGGGTGACCTTAGATGCTTTTTTGTGAGAAAGTTTAATCAATCCAGTTACCCGCAACGTCATGTCGTTCTCTTCAATAGGCTACTAGGATACCAGCGGTGCGTGTAAAAAAATGCTCCGAATGTACACAATACCGTATTTCATTTCAGCACTGCGTCGTATGTGACCTACCACTAACAACAATATTACAAAACTTTGCGTACTATGTTAGTTTGTTGTTTATCTGTTTCGGCCGGATATTGCAGCGATATTGAAAATGGACGCCGGAAAAATCGCTAAATTAGATTGTGTGCAAAATGGAACAAAAGCATTGCTCATGCACTAAATCTGGCCTGTCAATCTTTAAGACTCATCTGGTCCATGCAGGTCTACCCGTTGAGCGCTATCGAGTCTAAAGATAAAGATCAGCAGCTTCCAAACTTTAAAAAGTTTATAATCTTCAAAGTCCTAAAATTGTGTAGGATCCGCTCAAGATCCGTAGGATCCGCACAGATCCGAGTTATCAAGTTATAGAAGTGAAATTAAACGCTCAACTTTAAATTACTGAGTCATTCAGCCCTCGCAGTAAACTCAAGAATAGCCGAATAGGCTGCCCACGCTACAAAGATCGACGGCGACTAACCATTTTTTGCTATAGTACAGGTACACGAAGTCAAACTCCATCAGCCCCAGGCCAATTCCCCGATCTTTTGAGTTTCCAAGCACGTTGAAAGTCCGAGTGCATCTCACACTATTCATTGGGACAGAATAACGAAAGATTTTTTTAAATCCCATCGCGAGCATATAGCTTGAATATTTTTTGAACAGGCCTAAAACTTTCTCATCCGAGTTTATGCTAATTGGTCAAACTCAGTATTTGACTAATTTAATTAGCTTGGCCCACGTATTTACAAGAAGCTCAAAGCAAATTTGTTCAGAGAGCTGTTATACAAATACTCGCTGCTTTTAATTTGTAAAAAAGCTTCAAATACATATTAACTGCCAAACATATATAGCAAGAAACTTCAGTTCTTCTGATTTCATCGAATCTTTATTTACGCACGCGGACGTCTATTTTAACATCTCTGGAATGCTATTTCGAATATGCATTTTTGGGAAACATTATGGCGTTGCTACGATACGAGTTTCACATTCGAAACAAGAAACAAATATTTCAACTGCCGTAAAAATTAGTTTGTCACATTTTCAAATTACATGAATCTTGAGGAAAACTTCTATGAAAAAATCAATGTAAACAATCTCGCTTGGTAAACTGGAGAACGTAAAAGAAAATTTCGATAATAATATCTATTGCCTGGCAAAACAGCTTGCATGGATTTCGTAATCAAACGTCGTTTCGCCTACACAATACCCAAAATAGTTTGTGCTCTTGAGGTTGGAATTACATGTATACAAACAAATTATCGATATATTACATCAGATTTTTTACCCGACATGTCAAGCCTACATGATTTGGAATGCTCTTGATCGCACACCTACGTTCAAAAAATCTTTTTCATTTAAACGTTACACAACCAACCGCAGCAAATATTCAACGGGATTGGGATTTGAAATGCAGGCGTCCTTACCGAAAAGGCATTTTGATGAGCCTGCATGCGTAGCCTGTACTTTGTCGAGATAATTGTGCGCTGGCGCATACATATATCTAGAAATACTGACCTATATGTTTGTAAAATACTATGAACACTGGACCACCAATTAGCGCGCAAGGACGTACAGCAATTTTGCACGATATATATAATATGTATATTTAAACCGATACCTGGTAGGAGAAAAGTGCTTGATTATCTTCCTAAAAACCATTACGCCTACACTATATACTTTATTCAGACCTAATAAATTTCGCTTCCCATATGCTTTGCGTGAAAATTATCGTCTCGTGATTCCTTAGAAAAACATCAAGCTGTGTCTGACGCCATCGTTGGCGGGACCCTTTTGATGTCCTTTGGCAGAATAATTTTCACTTAATGCCCTAGATTGTTATAATGTCGACCTCTCATTAAATGCCTACTGCTATTGTCGAGCTACATAATGACTTGGTCAATCACACGGTAGATTCTTAGGATTGGCCTCACTGATCTTCGTTTCTCTCGCTACTGGAATGAGGCTGAAAAGAATAGTCCTCCTGCATCTGTAGCAACACTGATCTATAAGCACCGCTCCCAGCTGGACACGAGGTTAAAGGAGAACAATTTAACATTAACAGAGCTAAAAAACTCTATTAATAGAGCTCTTAAGTAGAGGAAATAAAATTCGTTGTATAATTTTATTCGTATTGTTTGTGCATTATCAAAATAGGCCGTACAGATTCTGGCATTAAAATTATCTTAATTCACATCAATGCTTTTTATATGCCGATGATTTAAATTTGACGAAGATATTTGAATTATAATCAGGCAAGTTTTAATTGGAGCCACTCGGTTCGAGTGAAGTGCATGTTTAAAAACTCTTGCCTCTTTGAAGTCAAGCAATTAAATCTATCATTTCTTGCCGACATAAACAGATTTCCTTCTTGAATTAGGGGCGTTAAATTGAATGTTGCGAAGTTCGGAAAGGTCATGTCACTCATGACACTCCAGTCAAAAGTCAGCCATTGCGTGCCACTTTCCTCCCGATAACATTGAAATGGCAAAAATGTTCCGTTTCCTCGACGTTCTAAAGAGTTGCTTGAAAACATTACAAAGAGATGAACGTCTAACGGTCTAAGTGTGAATTAATCTCGGCCAGAGAGAAGACGCTGCAAAGCAAGAAAATTCGAAGAGAAACAACAGGAAACGTTATCTCAAATATTCGTATTTGAATGAAGTAGCGTTGTGGAATTTAAATTGCTATTTAAGGAATCAAGAAATATATGTGGTTTAACACAGCGAAATCGGTGAATTTCAATTTGTGCATATGTTCTATCTATATGTTCTCATTCCATATACTATTCCGGAGTCCACTATTATCCTTGAGGTCCCGGTCCACCCTTGAGGTCCCGGTCCACCCTTGAGGTCCCGGTCCACCTTGAAGTGAAGTCTGTTTATTTTACACACACACTCACACACTGCATAGAAACAGTATACAGAATAATAATTAAACTTTTCTGATACATTTGTGTGCCGCAACGGCGAGTTTCTCAACCAGAGGCATGCATGTATCATTTTCGCTACCATGGAAACGCATTCTTGCGTGATCTCACGGAGTTTTCGAGAGCGGGCACCCTGCCGTTGGTATATTATATGCATCAGTAATAGTATGCTTTGATTGCTACCAAGCTATGAGATATAATAGCTTAATTTGGTTCATGACGGCATCGATATTGGCCTCATCGTTTCGCCTGTTTCCCTGACGATGGCAGGACATCGATGACGCCAATTATTTGATACAATTGACTTGGAGGGGAGGTCGTAGAAGTTACTGGAGTGTTAGCGATAACTATCGCGTTCCTCTTTGCGAGAACTTTCACGTTTTTTCTTAAAGATCATGTCAACTAGTAGAGTAAATACTGCGTTTCCAATCAAGTGGTAGATGTTGGTACACCCGATTATCAAATGTCGCTATGATAAAGTTGTTAAAATATACATAATCACATAGTCACATAGGTACATAAATAAGTCATGAATGAAGATTGCAAAACAGCTAGCGTCTTTCACGGGTTCCTATTGTGTCACATAAAGTTTTGCTGATAAAATTTGCAAACTAATTGGGAACAGGGAAAACAGCTTACGTATAAACAACCTGCAAAAGCGCTCGTTCAGTCGTTCTTATAGTATTCGTATATCATCGATCACTGGGAATTTCTTTCAAAATCCACAATACGAAAACAGTATGGATGCTCGTTGGAAATGGTATGGAAGTTATAATATCCATCAAATTGTCATTTCCGTACTATGAATATAGTATGGAAATAGCATGGGTGTAGCAAAAAACCCCGTAGGTTGGATTTAAAAAAAATTTCCAGTGAATTATTAGCTTGTTCTCGCATGGTCAATAAAGAAACTTTCTGATGGGTAGATTAGGCGCCCAGGATGCTGAGGCAATCCAAATTGGCTGGTCCCTCATGTGTGTCGCTTGGCTAATATCAGCTCGTTGACCTTGCTATTCTAAATTGTGGTGGGTGGAGGTTTCCTTCCACGGAAAGCTATGTTGAAATCTGGCTATTTTTATCGCAAATTGTCGATCCTTATCCAAATTGCTTGTGTTTTCAGTTTCCGCATCTGAGTTAAATTTCGTTAATTTGTCTATATGCACTGATATGCCACAAAACAAAAAATTAAAAGTAGAAGCCATTTGAAGGAGAACTGCTCATGCATATTCCTGCCCGGAAGCAGGAATTGTTTATATATTTCAAATACAGCATGTCAGCAAATTGATGCCGATAAAAATCTTTAAAACCACTGATACGAGAATTAAAAGCAAAAAAAATATTCACGTTCTACTTCGAGCATTTAAAACCCCTTTATACCAAAAATTACAGGAAAGTGTAAAAACGTTAAAAATAAATCTATATATATGAATAACTTTGTATACTCAGTATGCAATCGGCCTAAGGATTCAGCATCCAAGATGTAAATAAATAGTTAACTGAATAATCAATCTATATATTTAAAGCTATAAACATCTATAAAGCCAGCTAACTTTAAACAAATTCTACGCATCTATAAAAATCTCCTTTTTCGTTAGGTGAGCGGGAATCGCATACTGAGGAAATAAATTACGAAAATCTCGTGTTAAAAAGTTGCAGTGAACAAGGTTAATTTTTTTAAAATAAACTTCAATCAAAGTACTCGTTAAATGGAAATACGTAAATGATAAAAATAATAATATTTATATTCATATAATTCTAAATATAAAATCTATAAGCTCATTTAAAACCATGTCTAACCCAGAACTAAACAAAAACCAATCAAATTGGTAGATGTAATCTGTACTGTATTTGTAATGGATAATAAAACTACATATCGTGAACAAAGTGATATCCCGCCCCCTGACGTGCCTATTTTTAATTATTTTCCCAGGTTACGACTCTGGAGCCCATTCACCTACCTCGGAGACTCCGAGCACACCGCCCAGGTGTTTAATGTTGTCACAGGGGGATAATGATGTATCTATTCCGCATGTTGGAAATGTTACGTCTTCACATGAGCAGGTAAGACTATCAAGGGTGTATCAGGAAAATATTGCCTCACCAACGTCTGCTACGATTGATAGTTTGCCACATTGGTTACAGCTTTCAGCCCAGAGGCCTGTTGTATAAAACTCTTTAACTACATTTTGAATCCCAGGTAACTCAGAAATACACTACTCTGATTGGCCAATTCTGTCATTTAAAATTTAACGAGCCTTTTATACAACTGGCCCCAGTATTTCAAGTCCTTCCAGTAACAAACAAAATAATTGTTTTCAAAACAAAATTTTGTAAGTTAATGTGGCTTGGTATTAAATAAAACGTAAGAAACTCGTGCGGTGAAAATTAGTGTTTGCCGCAAGTTATTTGAAAAGAACATTCAAGCCGGCAACATTATAGGTAACTCTGTCAGTTCCCTCTAGTATCAGTATTAAGGCAATCATAAGGACATCCTTATGCCACGGGGACTACTTAATAACTGTTAGTGAATTCATAAAGAACGACAAAGTGTCAATGGCATCGAATTTTTTATATTTTAGAACCAAACAAGACAGCCATTCTTTCTCTCAGACGAAGAGAAACGCACCTTAATAACTGAAGGCTTGCCCATACCTGCAGGCTATCCTCTCACCAAGGTAAGTTAAAACACGACCAAGCAGTCTACAGCTGATTCATTCTATATAGAGTTCGAAGTAGCAAAGTGCACTAAATATATTTAAATTTACTTACTAAATTTACTATCATTTACAATTATTATAGTCCGAAGAAAGAGCCCTTAAGAAAGTGCGAAGGAAAATAAAGAATAAGGTAAGACTGTTTGTATACCGACTGTACTTAAAAAGAAAAACACATGGCCAGAGATGCAGGCCAATATGGATGCCAAGCATGCGTGATCTAGCGCTCATTGAAATAATCCGATATGGTGTCCCGTATGAGAGTGGGAACGCACCGGCAAATGTCCACATATTAAACTCTAGCGTACGTAAAGACTCTAGCTTTATTTTCATCGCATTTAGAAGCTTAAAATCACGCCTAAATGTGTTAACCAACGCAATGAAATACATCAATTTCGTACAGTGATTTTTGATAACCATTATTTTCTTTTATCAGTTGCTAATTGCTATGATACACTGATCTAAATAATGAGCTTGAAACTGAACCGCATAAGCCCCACACGCCTCACCACTGAAAGCCGGATAGCGCTATCCATCGGATAGTGATTTTTTCAACCGTTTTAAAAATGCTCGAAAAGCGATAAAATTTTATCTTTGGAACCTGGCAACAATTATTAAAAAGGATCCTCAATTTATGAATACTAAGATTTAATCAAATTTATACCCAACAACGGGCGATTTTAAAGCGATTGAAAAAACCACTATCCGGTGGAAAGCGCTATCCGGTTTCATACAACCGGCACTAGCATTTCTGGCCATGTCTTAAAAGATCTCCTCCTACACCTGGTTCGATCTTGTTTAACAAACGGACCAGTGCTCCGATAAAGAGACATCTCTCTCACAATGTCCCTAATTCATCACCATTCAACACTTTTTGAGTTTTTCTCACATCAACTTTGTTTAAATTTCAGATATCAGCCCAGGAAAGTCGCCGTAAGAAAAAAGAATACATGGAAACTTTAGAAAAGAGGCAAGTATCTAGTCAAGATATTAAACAATTTTCAGGCCACTTTTCATGCCGTGATTTTAATAACTCTTTCATATTCATTTAGAGTTGAGGTGTGCTCCGCTGAAAATTTGGATTTAAGAAAAAAGTTAGAGTCGGTGGAAGTTTCTAACAGGTAATAGAAGAAAACAATGGCGAAGGTATTGATGCATCTGAAACCAATTCAATTCATTTTTGTGAATCGTTTTTTTTTATTATTCCTGCAGAACTCTTATAAGTCAACTACAAAAGCTTCAAGCAATCGTCGCTTCGAAGGTTTCCCGACCTACATGCACGATTTCAACACAGACGACGGTATGTATGTTGTGATAAAATCTATTCCAACCTGGTTGGAAGTTCATAGTATCTGTCAGTGCTAAATTAAACCGAGAAAGCGTTGAGTCAATCTCGCTCTATAGTAAACTGCTTTATACATATGGTACATTGGTACTATTTGGCTTTATAATTTTAAAAATGCTCCCCCGTAGTGGTTTCGAAGGACTTTTTCTTTTAATGTTGTGTAATTAAAACAGAGTCACTGAATTGAGACCATGAACTCCTCCTAAATAACCTATGGCAAACTTTCCGAGCCATGAATCATGTACGAGGAATTATTGGTTCAGCTAGGGATGGGCGAAACTGAAATCTTGGCAGACATGGTTATATATCACTGAGAAACTTTTTAATGGCACACAGCAAATGTGAAATCAGTTTTGTTGTTTTACTTTCAGAAGAGCAAAACAAGCTAGCTTAAAGCAAACTGGAGAGTTGGTGAGGAATTTGAGATGAATGAAAAGCGGGAATGTGGGGATCCACGTTAAGACAAATGGTTCAGTTGAAAAGGAAAGACAGCAAACATTCCACTGTCTACTGAGACTAATATTCAGGTGTACAAAGCGCCGTGTTCAAAGAACCACGATTACTGTATGTTTTTATATCGACGAAAGTGACGATAGAAAATGAATTAAATAATTGCCATCTGTAAATAAATTGAATTTATCATCGACGTTTATAAAATTCGCCGATTGAATTAATTAGTTGCCTTTCAAAATCTTTTAAAAAGGAAGTTCAAATCATGCAAAAACTTTGGAAGAGATTTAAACTTTGAAACTATTCCGGTGACAAATAAACTTCATTTTGCGAGTGTAAATATAATGCTCAGAAAAAATTACTATCGACAGTTTTTGGAAATTCGAAGGCAACTCGCAAAAACACCATTAATTTTGATATTTGGTACCTTAAGCATGTAGGACGGAAACCATTACCAGAAATTTGCGACATGATAATTTGCATGTATACTAATTTGCATTTAACTTTCAGCATAATGGCCTTCAACATTTACTATAAAATATATATAGTAAATATACAAAACTTAAAAATGCCGTTGACCTAGACCTTGCCTACTGTTTGCCGACCTCTAGATCGGTCGAGCAGCTGTTTAGAAACGTTTTGGTGGCCGAATTTTTTTGCTTGGGCATTTCTGTAATCTGCCAAATTTAGAAATATATTGCTCAAAGTTTTGTCCGTGTTCTGTCAACGAACTTATAAAATCGCTCACATTGATTCGAATATTTCGATTCAGGTAGTTGATGAATTGACGTGTAATGTACCAAAAAAAATTGTTAAAGATATTGTCTTTCGTATTTGTGTATAAACTTTTCTGTACGGCTCGGATTTTCACTGCAATCACTTTAAAAAATATTATCAGTCTTATCAGGAACTTGAACAATACGAAGGCTATATACACATTTGTTCACAATCAGTTGGTCGAACGTAGAAATACCTAAGGTAAGTAATTCGATCATTAAAACGTTGGGAAACGGCTGTTCTATTGACCCAGAGGTCGGCAAACAGTGGGCCGCAAGGTCTAGGGCAACGACATTTTAAGGTTTTCTATATTTACTATATGTATTTAATAGTAAAAGTTGAAGGCCATTATGCTGAAAGTTAAATGCAAATTAGTATAAATGCAAATTATCATGTCGCAAATTTCTGGTAATGCACGGCGACCCGGCGGTTAATCAAAAGCGAAGAATAATAAAGACTCTATACGAGAGTTTTCATGACGTCTATGAATGCGTAATGTTTACAACGTCTTGTTTACAACGCGTCTGCATTTCAGGATGCTCTGAGCGCTACATCAAATTGGGCTTCTTAGAATTCCTCTGGTGCATGCAAATATAAAGTCAATTTTTTTTAAGTCTTATGTAACATTAAATTCATACGATTTGATAATATACAACAGCCAACAGTACTTTAAAGTAGCGTTCATTTAAACGAGGGTTTCAGCCTTGTCGTCGTCGCATTGCCGTCGAACATGCTCATGCAAGGTCCGTAACAATACCATGGATAATAAAAACACGTGTTTTTGTTATCCATGACTGTACCATGAGTACGTCAGCCTGGTTAAATCGCTCTCACACGAAAACGCGATTAGCCCACGATTACCGGGAGTGAGTTTACCAGGCCCGATGACGTTAATAAATTATCTCAAAGGTGTACTGTTAAAATCATCGTCTAATGTTATTTATTGTTAAAAATTTGTGTAAAAATGAATTTTTATTCACGTTCAGAGCTTGAAAGCTCATTAAAACATTAAAATTGTGAAAGAAATTTAATTTCTACTCCACGGAGGTAGATTCAAGCGCAAATCACTGGCTCAAGTTATATAATATGCATGGCTATAGCTTTCCTATTTCAATCAATGCACTGCTGGGATTACTTGTTTATCACAGACGAAGAACAGATTTGGACGCATATTTATGACGTCGCACTTCTGAAATAAGTTATCGGTAATCAATAGTCTTATACTCGAAATGTTTCTCGAAAAGAATTATTGATTGGAATTGATCGCATTGGATCATGCAACCTTTATATCATATCATTTAGATCATGGAACCTTTGATACAATAGTTTATTTCATGTGTATCTGGTTATTAACTGTTCCAGTACCACCCATCCGCTGGTGAAAGCTGAGACTCACAATTTTTTTTTCTTTTATTGTTTAATTATTATAATACAGAAAAAAGGTAGGATATACACTAAGAAAGAATACGAGAGTCAAACTAGTTTATCTATGCATGCATTGTTCATTAATCTCTATGGCTATCATATTTACTTTAAACGAACTAACGTTCGTTACCATTACTATTATTATGTTCAGTTCCATGCACATTTACACATTTATAATTCCACACGAGTATATCAGTCTAATAAGTAAAAAAAAAATTTTACACCATGCCAGACCGGCGGGAACGGTGTTCGACTTGAGTTATTAACTCGACTTCTTTCCGTGGTACGCGAGCTATCTTCGTACAATTTCACTAAGTTGAGCCACCAGTGAAGCCATGGTCCATAATACTTCAGGCTCCTTGTCTTCCTCCTCGTCTTCCTCCTCGCTTAGTTCGGGAGTACCACTCTTCTGCACTTCGCTGGACACTTGTCCATCGGTGGTTTTGTCCTGAGGTTCCTCACTTAGATTGCCGGATATTTTCAATTCGCCTTTTGTTTCGTCGCCCTCGCGTGAGTCAGTCAAGCTGATATGGATGTCCTTCACGGAGGCATCAGCCTCACATGATTTCGCAGGCGGCGCTGCCGTTTCCGCGGTAACACATTGCTCTGCTGGGCAATGCTCGCTTTCGACTTTGCATACGTCAGACTGGATTTGATTTGTGACGTGGCCCTCGATTTCATTTGTTGCGTCATCTTCTTTGATTACGGCAACATTAGCTTCCACGATCACGCTAATTGCTTTGATTTCTGTTACATTACCTTCGATGGCTGCTTCTATGGCAACGCCGCTTGCTTCGTTTTCAGATACTTCCAAGTTTTCGCTAGTTTTCAAAGACTTCCCAACACTATCGATTTCTGAAGATTGGTTTTCGGAGGCGTCAGCTTGTGCCAAGTCTTCTTTGACTTCCTGTCCAAGTTGAGCCATTGCAGATTCTTTGCTCAGCAAATTGTTGTCGTCTTGCTTCTCCAAGGCATCGCCTTTAACTTTATCTGCGACATCTGCTTGAATTTCGAGCTCAGTTGACAAATTTGTTGCTTTTTCAACCTCGATAAACAACGAATTTTCTGTGGCCTTGTCGATTTTCGAAGATTGGTTTTCGGACGCGTCAGCTTGTGCCATGTCTTCTTTGACTTCTTGTCCAAGTTGAACCATTGCAGATTCTTTGCTCGGCAAATTGTTGTCGGCTTGCTTCTCCAAGGCATCGCCTTTAACTTTATCTGCGACATCTGCTTGAATTTCGAACTCAGTTGGCAAATTTGTTGCTTTTTTGGCCTCGATAACTGATGAATTTTCTGTGGCCTTGTCGAGAACCGACTCTTTGCCGTTATCCTTGACTTCGATTGGCTCCGCTATGTCTGTCGCGAGTGTTTCTCCTTGCTTGGACCAAAGATCTACATTTTCACTTTTAGTAACCGTCTTCTGTGTTTCCATGCCTTCCAATGCTTCTGAAAAAAGCAAAAAAATGAGCGTGAATCACGTTTATTCTTGATGGAATGAAACTATTGTCCCCAGAAATGTCTCAAAGCATTTTTTGCGTTTACCTTTTTCCTTAGGCTTATTGATATATTCACATTTAGCAATAGTCTTCCCTGTTGAGGAAGACATTTCATTGGTGTCCGACTGATTGTTTGCCACCGCTATTGGCTTCTGTGTTTTAAAGCCGCCTTCTGATGCTTCTGCGAAAAACAAAAAGATGAGCGTGAATCACGTTTATTCTTGATGGAATGAAACTATTTTCCCCAGAAGTATTTCAAAGCATTTTTCGCTTTTACCTTTTCCCTGAGGCTCATCGATATCTTTATCAATTTCTTCAGCAGGGTCATCTGCCTTTCGTAAGCAACCACAACAGCCGCCCATTTTTCTAAATGAATAATTTCCAACAATACTTCGCAACTCGCAGTTTAATTAAAGAGAACCGTATTTCGCAAAACGCAATAATACAATGACTTAATTAACCCGTGACGTTGCAATTTAATCAGAGAAAGCAATTAATTAGCTCCTTTATTAATTATAATTGGGTTGCGTAAAAAAAGTAAAACAACTTTGCCGGAATTTAAGGTTTGCGACATGCTTTGAACAGAGTATTTCACTCTTAATACTAAAATAGCCTAAGATTCCCGGTGCAACTCTATCAACTACAAGGCTGCCAGGTCAGGCGATGGAATTCTTCCATAAAGTTCATATTGCAATTGGCCTATCTTAAGCTTATTCGGTAACAGCGCGTCTTCACTAGCCATAATGTGATCATTTTTCCCAAAACTTTATTGCAAAAATGATCACATTATAGTGAATAATGATTTCTTAGAGTACCTAGCTTGTGGCGTAGGAAGGAGGGGGGGGGGGGGCACTGGGGGCACGTGCCCCCCAACTTTTAAAAAAGATAAGAAAAAGTGCCCTTTTTATAAGGAAAGTGCCCTTTTTCATACCTAACATTAGTATGCCCTTATGAGAATTTGTGCCTAAATTAATGAGTGTAGTAAGTTTTTTTTAGGATTCCAGCATTCGCTAGATTTTAAATATTTTTTCGAGGAACCCCGGCTTGGCAATTGCGACGTTTATGTTAACAAAAATAGCACAAATACTGAAAGTTTCCAAATGGAAATATTACGTTTTTTTGTAGCTAAGTTACCAAACCCAAAACGTTGGGATTTGACATCTACCGAATACAGATTTTATATGGTCAAAGTTATAACATATTCAAAGTTGCTAAATTTTCTTGTTAAAAATTCATTTTAAAATTTTAAACTCTTGTATGATAAGACAGCATACAACATGGTTCCGCGCACCATGCGGGACTTAATGGTATAATACTCACAATTAATATATGACATTTGTATTAATATTATTATACACTGGCAGTCAAAAAGAACTGCTCAAAACAAATTAAAATGCTCTCAAAACAACGTAACTGCCCCTCTAACAATATATACGAGTAAATATAGACTAGATTACATGCTAAGCTAAATGAAATATTAATATTTTGTTGACCCTCCTTTCGCCTTATAATTGATGACGGCCTTACACCGGCGTGGCATACTTTTTGTTAAGGTGGTAATCTTGAGCGGTCAAAAGAAATTCATCCTATGGACAGTCTTTGTCCCCTTGACATTGTCCCATAGATTTTCAATAGGGTTAAGGTATTTTGACTGTGCAGGCCAATCCGTTTCTGTCACTCCCTTTTCTCATGAAACCATTGTTTGACTATCCTGGAGGTGTGGCAGGTTGCATTACATTACTGAAA